GTCCCACATGTCCCATTGTTTACACCTGGGAGCAGCTTCTCGGATTAAGAGACTCCACTTTCCTGCACTTTCCCCGTGGAGATCCGAGATCCGTAGGCGACGCAGAGGATCCCCTCTATCATCATGGGAAACATACGGTCCATCTCCAACAAGAGTGAGGAGGACTAATGTGTTTCTCTGAAACGTTGCTGTGTGGGAATGTACTGGACTCTGTGGTCACTCTAAAGGGATTTAAACTAGTGCGCGCAGACCGGAGCGTGGAGGGGAGCGGAAAGAAGAAGGGCGGGGAAGTCGCGGTATACGTGAAGGAGGAGTGGTGTATCCCGGCGCATGTTCATGTGAGTAAACGGATCTGCACGCAGGACCTGGAGCTCCTCGCTCTGAGTATGAGGCCCAGATATTTGCCGCGGGAGTTTTCGAACACCGTGGTTCTGTGCGTGTACATCCCTCCATCAGCGGACGCTGCTGCAGCATGTGAGAGGATCCATATAACTATGTCACAGATCCAGACCCACAGGCCCCGTGCTTAGATATTGATCAGCGGAGACTTTAATCACGCCTCCCTCTCCACTACTCTCCCAACATTCAAACAATATGTCACGTGTCCCACGCAGGAGAATAAGACTCTGGACTTACTGTATGCTAATGTCCGAGATGCATTCGCCTCCTCCCCCTCCCCCCGCTCGCCCGTTCTGATCACTCTCTGGTTTGTTTATCTCCGGAATACACACCAATGGTGAGGAGAAATCCAGCGCAGAAGATGTCTGTTACAGTGTGGAGTGAAGAGGCTGAGGAGAGGCTGAGAGATTGTTTCCAAAGCACAGACTGGGACATGATCTGCAGCTCTCATGGTGATGACATCAAGAGCCTGACACACTGTATAACAGACTATATTCTCTTCTGTGTGGATAACACTGTACCGACTAGGAAGGTACAGTGTTTTTCCAACAAGCACCCATGGGTGACCCCTGAGCTTAAAGCCCTCCTGAACTTCAAGAAAAAGGCTTTCATCTCGGGGGACAAAGAGGAGCAGAAGAGGATCCAGCACGAGCTCCAGTGGAGGATCAGGAGGGCCAAGAAGGAATATGGGTAAAATCTGGAGCAGAAGCTGGCCCAGGGAAACGCCCGTGACGTGTGGAGGGGCCTAAAGAACATCTCCGGTTTCGGACAGAGTGCCAGAGGGACTGCGGATGGAGACCAGCGCCTGGCTGATGAATTTAACCAATATTTCAACCGGTTTGATTCTCCATCCTCTCCTTCCCGCCCCCACCGCTTCACACGTCTCCAGCCCAGTGGACACTGCCTTCGGCTACCCCGGGCCCCCCTGTCCCCACATCCCCAATCCCCACCTCTGACAGTACACTATGGTCCCCCCTCTCCATCACACCGGACCAGGTGAGGAGTGAGCTCAAGCGACTGAAGCAGAGGAAATCCGCAGGACCGGACGGGATCAGTCCCAGGCTGCTGAGGACCTGTGCAGACCAGCTTTCTGAGGTCCTCAGCTACACCTATGTTGTGGAATGTTTGACCCTAGTTTCTTAGTACAAATGGAATGTTCTTGGTGTTTGGGTCATGATGTACTCTAGATGTCAAAGTGACCTGCAAGGAATGAGGGAAAACATGTTTGGTAATAGTTATTAGGAAACATCTGGTTCCTGATAGAATCTGGCCACTGCCAAGACTTCCATGTATGGGTCTCAGACTGAGTTTAAAAGACAGGAGCAAGACAGGTAGTTAGTCTGCATGGTAGTAGTTCCATGCAACTGACGGTCTTTCTCATGCTAAAATGAAATGAATAAATGCACTCTCTAAACTTTATTCTCGGCTTTTGTGAGAGTTATTTGAATTAAACCACTACATCTACAACCTGATCCCGGCTCCTAAAATAGCGCACGCCAAGAAACCGGCTCAGTCGCACTGACCTCCCACCTGATGAAGACCATGGAGCGGCTCATCCTCACCATCTCCGCTCTCGTCAGCCCCACCCTGGACCCGCTGCAGTTCGCCTACAGGCCCAACATCGGAGTAGACGCCGTCATCTACTCTACTGCAGCGGACGCTCTCCCACCTGGAGCCTGCAGGGGGCGCTGTGAGGGTAATGTTTTTTTTACTTTTCCAGTGCTTTCAACACCATCAGGCCGGCGCTACTGCGGGGGAAGATGGAGGACGTGGGAGTGGACAATCACCTCACTGCATGGACCATCGACTACCTCTCGAACCGACCACAGTACTTGCGGCTGCGCAGCTGTGAGTCTGAGGTGGTAGTCTGCAGTACTGGGGCCCCTCAGGGCACTGTCCTCTCACCGTTTCTCTTCACGTTTATCTACACTTCAGACTTCACACATGACACACACAGCTGTCACCTGCAGAAGATCTCCGACGACTCCACCATCATGGGCTGTGTGTCTGAGGGGAACGAACTGGAATACCGGTCAGTTATCATGGACTTTTCGACTGGCGTGAGCGCAACCACTTGTGCTTGAACACAAGTAAGACCAAGGAGATGGTAATCGACTTCAGGAGAAAACCACTTTCCCACACGCTGCTGAACATCCAGGGGGAGGACATTGAGCTGGTGGACAGCTTCAAGTACCTGGGTGTTCACATTTACAATAAACTGGACTGGTCTCGAAACACCAACGCCCTGTACAAGAAGGGCCAAAGGTTCTTCGGCGTGAGCAGGCCTCTGCTCAGGACTTTTTATGACTCTGTGGTAGCCTCTGTCAATATACTATGCTGCCGTGTGCTGGGCCCCGGGCAGGGACCTGGACCTGGGCCTGGAGTCCTGGGCCCGGGAAGTCAGGGCGTCCTCCACAGACTGCTGCAGCTGCATGCAACGGATAAAGTGGAAGAACATGGATGCACTTGTTTGTTAAACAGCTTCGTGTTTTACCCGGCTCCTGATGATGTGTTGTTGTGTTGCAATAGTAACACTTTAACAAATTCTAAAACATGAAAGTGAACTGTCTGAAACTCCATTGTTGTATATAGTTCTTTAATGCAATAATGTGGTACATTCAGGCACAACACCAGTGATTACAGCTGTATATGGACATAATAATATAATATTATGGTTATATCTCTTCACCAAGCTGCACTTGAAACCTCATTTAGATCTAATTTTCCCACTTAAACCTCACAAGGCGCCGCGGGGAGCCGGTGCATTGATTCGCTCTGTCTCGTCCCTCTTTACTGCGACACATTCAGGGGGAGAACCTCGCCTGCAGACGCCCATAAATCGCGGGTAAAGATGTTTTTTCACCCCGCAGGCGGAACCATCCTTTATCTAAATAGACTTCCACCAGCACCGGGTTTATTCAAGCGTCAAGCTGCGAGAGAAATGCCCACGCTCAACCGCCTCAGTCCGGATGCTTTTAGAGATGTGTTCACTAAGAACCACCGTTTAGACAGGACTTTAAATATTATTACATAGAGATGGAGAATACATGGGGTTTGTCTCCATCTAGCGGTGAAGTACACGCACTGCAAGTATATTTTACATGTTCGTAGCTCTTTGGCTCAAGACATTATATAAAGATAAGATAATATTGGCCAGAACAGGCAGAAATATGAGTCTTAAAGCTGCGGTACGAATTTTTGAACCCACAACAATAGAATTGTTTCATAACGTCCATGTTGCTAGTTCAGGAGACCAGAGAGAGACAAAAAAGAGACCAGAGAACGTGTTTTATAATTAGATGAAGACAGCATGTTGATCAAAACATCTTACTTTGACAATATTCTCTCTGTCAAACTAAATACATGTGTTATTTGGAAAAGTTAGGTACCCCAACTTTATGAATCTATGTAAAACCAATGAAGTGCATTGGTTCCTTGTTTGACTGGAGGCTGATGAATCAGGCCCTCTGCTTCTTTGTGCTACTGTCCCACGCAGTTTGCTTTCGGAGTGACTTTTGCAAATATAGGGCCTTGCATCAGAGAGCAAAATGTGGAATTCAGGCTTTGTGATTTAGAACACTGATTTTGTTTTCTGCAAAGTTATAGAATTATGATGTGATTTAGAATGTTTATTAGATGGGTTTTTCTGGGAAGTGAAATCTGTTTGTGGAACAACACTTCTAACATGTGCATATAATTAGTACTCACTTGGTTTTGAACTGCTATAGTCTGTAGTCTGCACTTTTAATTAAATTATCTTGTGAGGAGCTCTATCTTTAATTCATTTTCCACCAGAGAATAGTACTAGTTACCATAGAAACACACTTTCTTTTTTACGGTCATAAGTTAGCATTTGTCATTTTTCTGCATTTCAGTTATAATGATCATGAACTAGCACTTATTTAAACCCTCATTAATTACTTTCTTTTCATGAATCTTGTACAACACTAAACATTCTAGGGGGCAATTTCTCAGATTTCCATTGGTTTGATTGGGAACAGTCAAAATGACGGCTCTGGGGGGTTCTGTTTCAGAAATCTGGGAGTCCTGGTGTCTTCCGCCGAACTACAACTCCCAGTATCCTCCACTGTAGTGTATATATGACGTCAGCCGCTCGCTTCCGCTACAGTCTGAGCGTGCGGCTCACAACAACTTTTTAAAACCTATTATTTACGCGGATGTATCACTTCTTGTCGACTTTTATGAGAGCGGAAATATCATAAAAGTTGTGGTAAGTGCTGCAAGAAGATTTGTTTCTTTAAAATGATTAATTATGTTGAGAAATACGTTATATATGGAATCTTTGCCCCGGGCGCATGTTAGCATTATGGGCTAACACGAAGCTAACAACTTGTTTTAAACATATAAACTACAGCTAGTGTTACTTGTTTGATCAAAAACCAGCACATTGTGTTGAATTAAATCTTTCATTTGTACCCACGTGTTTCTGTTTATTTTTATTGTTCAAGAATGCTTAAATGAACAGTGTTTCGCTTCGTTTGTGCAGCGCGGATTACATTTGGAAGTAAAAAGGAAGATGTATCCAAGATAGTGACAACTGCCCGGAAATAGAGCCTCAAATCCAGGTTTAAATCCGAGCCATGCCGCGGAGGAAGCAGTCCAACCCGCAGCCAGTCAAACGTGAGTGTCAGCAGCACGAATTTCAGTATTTTTAATTGGTTTTGTTGCTGTGTTTTTTGGAGAGAAATCTGCATACTTGACAAGGAAATGCTCTGGCTCATAAAGCATCTGACTGAATCACAGATTGACTTGATATTATAGATTTTTAAATCGCAGAAATGTCAAATTACGTGTTTACTAGAAGAATTGCAACCAATGTCTTTCCAGTCTAGGACAAATCTAGGAAGCAAAGACATTCATTCACATTGCACAATACAGGAGGGGAAAAGTCTGAAGAGAAAATCTTTAGTGTCTTCGTACTAACGTCATGACATTAGGCTGAAGAGACATGATCGAAGCTCCTGAAGCCACTCGGGAACTGTCTACTCTGACTGCTGATAACCGGCTTTGCTTTGTAGTAGTAATAGTAGTTTTCAAAGTGGCTATTATAGTAAGTAGTAGTAGTAGCAGCATCTGAAGTAGCTATATTGAGTAATAGCTTTAGAAGTAGCTATAATTTTAGTTATTGCTTTTAGAAGTAGCAGTAGTAGGAGCTTTAGACGGAATATATACGTTTTGTATTTATAATAATTCAAACGTAGCTGTTCTTGTGTCATTTGTTCAAGAGAAAAGTGGAATCATTCTGAGTTTGTGAAAAACAGGAAACAGGAGGTGGAGGGGAAGAGGATGTGAAACTACACAAACCACTGCAGTTTGTCTCCCTGTAATGGATCCATTTGTGCACTCAACCTTTTTTATAACCAGTAGTTGTGTTTAGCTCTGTCCATGTCCCCCCCAACCCTTCTGTCTAATCATGATTTTCTTTTCTACAACACAGTAGAGACAGAGATGCAGTGAGCCACTGTTTTTTCATTATTTTTCTCATTAATCTGATTAATACATGTTTTTTATGCTGTTTTATATAGAAGCCACAGTAGTAGTAACAGTTCTATGTGTTTTCCCCTCAGTGGGAGCTCTGCCTCTCGACCCCCCCCTTGTGGTGGACCCCAGCTGTCTGGTTCTGGACAGTGACTTCTTGCTGAGTGGAGAGCTGGAGTTTGGAGACTCGGAAATCATGGGCTTGGGCAAGGACTCAGGTCGGTACCAGAAACTGTGCAAATACAAGAACAAGAGAGACTTGAGAAAGACACAATATTATTTAGTGGACTTCTATGAGAAATGGTGATGGCAGAGAGACACTTTCTACACACAATCTTACTGCTGGTATATAAAGTAGTAGTAGTAGTAGTAGCAATAGCAGCAGTAGCACTGCCAGCAGTAGCTTTTATCACTATTTTCATCACTGTCTCTTTCTTTCTCTCTGTCTCTCCGTTTGGTGTGACTGTTCTCTCTGGTGTTATTGATCTAAAATGGTCTCCCTCTCTCTGGTCTCTCTCTCAGTGACTGTGTTCTCTCTGGTGGAGGAGGACTCGTCAGTGCCCTCTGACCCCTCTCTCTCCTTCTGTTGCTGCAAACGCTGTGGGAAGCTTCTCCCAGATGCCCTTCTGTCCACCGGCCTCCACCTGGGTCTGTACTTCACGAAAACCTCACACTTTCTCTGATCTCTTTCTGTGCTCTCACTGGTCTCTCTCTCTGGCCCCTCTCTTTAGTCTCGCTCTGGTCTCTCTCTGGTCCTTCACCCCAATCCCTCTCTGTTTCCTCTGTAGTCTCTCTCTGCTCTCTCTCATCTCTCTAGTCTCATAATAAATATTTTGTGTGTTTGCAGGGGTGAGTCTGGACCTGTCCTCAGACCTGTACTGCCTCAGTTGTGAATCCATCCCTCCGTCTCCCGAATTGTCTCCCAAATCCTCCAAACGAGTCCAGAACCAGCCGGACCCCAGTCCCTCGGAGCCCAGACTCTACTCCTGCGCCCTGTGCCCCTTTACCTCCCGCTACTCCAACCACCTGACTCGGCACGCACGCATCCACCAAGGCCGCAAACCGTACCAGTGCGAGGTGATGGTCCAAGGCACAAACCAGTGTCTCTGTGATTTATCAAAGTAATTTAAGACATACAGTTGGTGCAAAAAAGTATGTAGTTAGTCACTACTTGTTCAAGTTCTCCCACTTCACAAGATGATGGAGGTCTAGGAGACCCAGAGAAAAAAAATTATTTGCAAATGGTGTAAAATAAGTATTTGGTCAATAACCAAAGTTCATCCCAATACTTTGGTATATAACCTTTGTTGTCCATGACATAGCTCAAATGTTTTCTGTAAGTCTTCACAAGGTTTTCCCACACTGTTGCTGGTATTTTGACCCATTCCTCCATGCATTTCTCCTCTAGGGCAGTGATGTTTTGGGGCTGTTGCTGGGCAACACAGACCACTTCTTTGTTGCCCATGGGGTGTGTTTGGGATCATTGTCGTGTTGAAAGACTTAGCCATATTTCATCTTCAATGCCCTTGCTGATGGAAGGAGGTTCTTTCAAAATATATTGAATTGATTTTTTCCTTTACACGGATCAGTTGTCCTGGTCCCTTTGCAGAATAACAGCCCCAAAGCATGATGTTTCCACCCCCATGCCTCACAGTAGGTATGGTATTCTTTGGACGCAACATTATCTGTACTTCAGTAAGCAGTTTATCCAGACATTTCGTCCTTAATCCAAGAAAATTTCTCAACGGAATGAAATCTCAGCCGTGGTCCTTTGTTTTGAATAATCCCTATACGACTGAGAGTTTACACAAACTAATTGCTCGTACAGTTGATTTCTTCTCACCAAGCTGCTTATCTATTGCAGATACAGTCTCCCCAGCCTGGGAAGACAGTTCTTTGACAGATCTTTGGTCTTGGCCATAGTGGAGTTTGGGGTGTGACAGTTTGAGGTTGGGGACAGGTGTCTTTCATACTGATGAGTTCAAACGGGTGCCATTAATACAGGTGACAGGTGGAGGACAGAGGAGCCTCTTTAACCTCTTTACTAACACCGGCGCGCCGGCGGCTGTTTTTATGTTTTTAAATGTTCTGCTGGCAATAGCAGATGTATTTTGAACACCAAACCCCAAAAGCTGTATATCATTTTAAAGCTTATTTTCTTATCTACATTTATATACAAGTGTAAACCACATCAGACTTTGCATTCAAAAGATATAACACATAATGTGGGCACAAAATAAATCAATTCCGAAATAGTTTTTTACCTTTGGGCTTGTGCTGTACAAATAAATCAGCTCTCCTCCCAGCTTGCAATACATCATTCTCTCTGGAACAGTCCAAGGAAAATTATATCCACTTGTATTTCCCAAAGTAAAATCCATTCTGCAGAAATAATCCAAAAATGTGCATTTATCTTTAGCGAAAAAAACGAAAAAAAAGAGCACAGATGTTACTCTTTCACTTTTAACGGACTTTTAGCTTTGTTTTTCACCCGAACATCTGGTATCCACGTGTTCCTTAGCTCCTTATCTTTCAAATGAGACTACTCCCGAAAAGCTAGACCAATTTTTGGGTCTGCAAGAGGTCCCGTAAGTACATCTTGCGCTGCTGTTTGCGCATTGAACACTGATCTTTTGTGGGGTCTAACGTATTAAAAAATGACGTGTTCAAAATCCCTTATAAAGATGACCATGCTTCAGAAAGTTAAATTCAAAAAGGTTTATTTCCCTAATACAAAAATAATCTAAAACAGCTGTTCGGACCAAAAGTAACTATCCCTTATTCTCTATATAAAATATAAAAGTATGACTTTGGTGGGCGCTCCACGCAAATCACACACTGCCCCTGGTCCAGAAAAAACTAAACTAAAAAACATTCAAGCTATTCATTAAGTAATGTGCAAGAAGAAGGGGGCGTGTCGTATCAGTCAGCTCTGGTCCCGGGTCCGGCCTCCATCAGGTCTCCTCGTCTCTTCCAGACCTAAACAGAATCATTTACACACTCCCCCTCCCCAACCTATAGATTTATTAGTTCCTTTGAGATAAGGCAGAGCTCTCAAGGCTTCTCCTCCAGATTCTGGGCTCCATCTCCTTCTTTCACAACTTGAAAGGATTAGCAGAATCCCCCCAGATTAACTATCATTAACTCACCCATGCACTTTGGACAAAATGGGACCAGAGGAGTGGGGCAATACAAGGTCTTTCTTTTTGCTTGGAAACAGACAGTTCAATTTCAGGTCAATCTAATTCACATCGCCTTTTAGTCTATATTTAATACAACAGTTCCCCTCTCTTGGCCGCTCTTAAAAAGGCCACACCTTTCAATAACCTTCCTCAGGCGACGGGACGGGGGAATCCTCAACCAATGCAAGCATTTGACCTCTCAGTCCAGGGTTAACAGCGGTGTCTATAGCTTTAACACAAAGAGAACGTATACAAGGTATACACAGGGCTTAAAGTTTTCCGGCGTGAGAAAAAAAAAAAAAAAACATCACATTTTTTTTTTTTTTTTTTTTCATATATATATAAATAAATAATGATTGCTGTCATTTGAAAAAGGTTCAAGTGTGTTCTACCAATTGTATGAAAGGATTGCATGTGTATAGCGCAGGGATTAAAGAGTTCCGTCAAATGAAATTGGTCTGAAAAAAAAAAACAAAATATATAATAATAATATAATACACACAATGAAATGGTTAATTATAACAAAATATATAGTAATACGTGTGAATCTGTTGTATATATCTAGATGTATATTAATAATTTGAATATAATTGTATTTATATGTATATAGAAATAAAAAGTAATATAATCACGAGTGGGCCTTGAACGTGCCGTGGCTAGCTACATGAGCGCTCCGTAAATGATTCAAGGCAATGGAACGTAGCCAAGTTAGCGATGGTAACACGGAGGTGAAAGTTTTTGAAAAGTGCACGGAGCTTTTGAAAAGGAGAAGAGGACAAGGAAAATGTAATCCCGAACGGAGCAATAACAGCCAGCAGCCCGCGGACCGGTAAGCTAGGCGCGTTATCAGAGGAAAGGTAGGACATAATTAACGTTTACCAAACGCAATGCTTTTTTATTTAACGGAATGTACAATATGTACTTTGCTGTGACTGGGAATGGGGACAAGCATGTCTTGGTGAGCTTTTGATAATATCTTGGTGGCGATCCCCATGCAAAACCTGCTCCTTTTTCTTAAACATTGAGTGTCCACAAACAAATGTGGACAGAATTTTGAATGTCCTTTTGCGATATTTTGACGAGGACAGAGCCAAAGGACAACGCCTCATCTCGCCTCAAGTAAAGCCAATGATGCAGATGAACTACTCTCACTAATATTCTGTCAAAAGGGGCGTTCACACCGGACTTAACTTCGGCGTCAAAAGCGTCAGGTTTCCATTGAAAGTGAATGGTGAAGCGCGTCAGGTGAAGCCGAGAGCCCCGGCGTCACTTGACGCGCGTCAAAAGCTTCAAGAGTCGCGCGTACTACGCGCTCACTTGAAGCTTTTGACGCGCGAAATGCTCGCGTATCACAACAATCCCTCTGACGCCGAAGCTGAGCAAAACTGAGCTTTTGAAGCTTTGACGCGGGCTTCAACCAATCAGGAGACGAGGAGCAGCAGCATCAGAGGGTCTGTCTCTGTCATGAAGAGAAGTCATGTATCTGCTGCTGCTGTTTTATTGTCATTATTGTTATTAGTAATAGTATTTGTATGAGTAGTAACGTTCTGAGTAACAAAAACCATTGTACACATGCTGTGTAGTAAACGTAGTTTATTTAATATAAGAACAGGCTGACGATGAGTCTGGCTCAGAGCAAGGCAGCTCCGGGCGGGCGAGAGCCGGGGAGAGCCGGGGAGAGGCGAGCGAGAGCCGGGGAGAGGCGAGCGAGAGCCGGGGAGAGGCGAGAGCCAGGCGGGGAGAGGCAGGGAGAGGCGAGAGCGAGGCGGGGAGAGGCAGGGAGAGGCGAGCTCCGGGGTTTGAGAACTCAGACTGGGCGAGTGACATGCGGAAGTACCGCTGAAAGCGAAACTCCTCCGTACGCAGCTCCTGGAGTAAATGACGGAACTCTGCAAACACTGAAGCCTCTCAAGTCTGTGGTGAACCCAGAACATGTTTTGTTGAAGCCCTACAACAACGTTATTTTGCTTTATATAACAAATAAAGGCTTGCTGTTCATTGAAAAATCCACCGCTGTCCTGACTACAGGCAACAGAGAAGCTCCTCCCACCGGCGTCAGGCGCGTCACTCGCGTCAAAAGCTTCAAGCACCAAAATGACAAAACTATCCCGGCGTCAGTTGAAGCGCGTCAAAAGCTTTTTGAAGCTTTTGGTCTGAACGCGCCTAAAGAGTTGACAAGTTGCTTGATCCACTGGTTGTAATTTCACATCAAAATACACCAGTTTAAATTTATATCTTTGAAGAATTCGTTTGATCTGTAATTCATTATATTTCCATGAGAACATTTTCAGTCAAATCTTTTTTTTTTGCTTTAACCCCTGGCCGCTTATAAAAAACGCTTATTAGTGATCATTCTATGATTCATATAGATGGTTCAGGCTCAGGAATTTTTTCAACTTTAACCCATGGGACAAAATCGTGAAGTGGAAGAAATGTTATTGGGATAATTTAATTTTTTAACAAATAAAAAACTGAAAAGTGGGCCGTGCATTATTATTAGGCCCCACTTGCGCCTAATACTTGTAGCGCCACCTTTTGCTACAATTACAGCTGCAAGTTGCTTGGGGTATGTATCTATCAGTTTTGCACATCGAGAGACTGGAATTCTTGCCCATTCTTCCTTGCAAAACAGCTCGAGCTTCAGTGAGGTAGGATGGAGCGCGGGGGGGGGGTTTGTGAACAGCAGTCTTCAAGCTCTTTCACAGATTTCGATTGGATTAAGGTCTGGACTTTGACGTTGAGCATTTAAAACACCTGGATACGTCTATTTGTGAACCATTCCATTGTAGATTTGTCTTTATCTTTTGGATCATTGTCCTGTTGGAAGATTAAATCTCGTCCCAGTCTCAGGTCTTTTGCAGACTCCAAAACAGGTATTCTTCCAGAAGGTTCATTTGGCTCCATCCATCTTCCCATCTTTTTAGCATTTCCTGGTGAAGAAAGCAGGCCCAACCCCCCATTGATCTTTTTGACAGTGGGGATGGTGTGTTCAGGGTGATGAGCTGTGTTGCTTTTTCGCCACTATGTTTTGCATTGTGGCAAAAGTTCGCATTTTGGTTTCATCTGTCCACACTTCTTCCAAATGGGTGTGTCTCGATTGGGTGTGGCAGATACTTTTTATGGATATCTTGAGAAAAGGGCTTTATTCTTGACGTCTTCCATAAAGGCCGATTTGTGCAGTGTGAATTGTTGTCATGGACAGACCTCTCCCACCTCAGCTGTAGTGATCTGCGAGTTCATCCGAATGACCATGGGCCTCTTGGACTGCATATCTGATCAGTCTTCTCCTTGTTTGAGATGGAAAGTTTGGACGGGAAGGCAGGGTCTTGGTAGTATTTGTCAGTGAGTCTGATACTCCCTTCTCATTTCAATATTAATTGCTTGCACAGTGTTCCTTGAGATGTTTAAAGCTTGGGAGAATCTTTTTGTATCCAAAATCCAGAACTTTAAACTTTCACCACAACAGTATCTCGGGACCTTGCCTGGTGTGTGTCCCTTTGGTCTTCATGGTTCTCTCTCTCCTCCTACTGCTTTAAACAGACCCTGAGGACTATCAATGAGCACGGGTGCATTTATACAGAGACTTGATTACACACAAGTGCTTATTCTATTTATCATATCAGTCATTTAGGACAAACATTGGATCCATTCAAAGATCCTTCTGGACTGTGGAGTTGAGTTTGCTGCACTGAAAGTAAAGGGGCCGATAATATTGCAGCCCCACTTTTCAGTTTTTTATTTGTTAAAGTTTAAATTATCCAATAAATTTGTTCCACTTCACGATTGTGTCCCACCGCGAAATGTTGAAAGTTCAAGGGGGGGGCGAAATACTTTCACTGTATCTCTGGTAAAACACCTCCCATCTAGATGAAATTCCTTACACTTCTTTAATGCATGTGGCCATCCATGTGTGATTTTAATGTTTTATAGTTTTTTATATTTTTTATTTTTTTATATTTCTTGTGCTCTGTGTTTTTTGTTTATTTTAGATTCTTAACACAAAATAAATGTTTGATTGTTTGGATTATTGTATTTCTTTTCTGCAGGCCTCTGATTTAAACTCCAAAGCAAAGATCTCGTCTAAAGCCAGAGCCTGAGAGCGTGGGGCCCATCTCCCTGCGCTGACCCTGGCTCGCAGCGCAGAGCAGAAAGAACCCGAGATTTTGGATATAGGTTCAGTATATAAATGATTATGGATATAGGTTCAGTATATAAATGATTATGGATATAGGTTCAGTATATAAATGATTATGGATACAGGTTCAGTATATAAATAAATGATTATGGATACAGGTTCAGTATATAAATGATTATGGATATAGGTTCAGTATATAAAATGGGTAACTCAGTGCTAATGTTCAGAATTCTTTGTTCAGTTTTCATGTAGTTCAGAGCCTAATAGAGGCTTGATTCGGAGGCTCCCGTGAAAACAAACAGAGCATGAGCAGCTACGAGCATCAGCGCTTTTGACAGCCCTTGGCAGTTTGGTAAAGTGGATGACGGCATCGTGGATTGTTGAACTATAGCTAAGTTTACCGTAATGTTAGTAGAATTCATAAAATGACTTATTTTATATCAGGGCCAGGCAATTTAATGCAATTCGTATTCATTTAAAGTTCCCGACTATCACTTAAGCAATAGTTGTGTGTGTTGTACCTGCGTCTGTCCTGAGAGGCTCATGGACTGTGGTGGAGGAAGATGATGAGGATGTGGGACATGAGGATGAGGAGCGTGGGTGAGAGGAGGGGGAGGGGAGGTGGTGAGGAAGGCCGAGGCCAGACCACACTGCTGCATTCTGCGAAACCTGTGAGAGCACAGCAGGAAGTGGACAATGTATCGGAGCCACATCTGTGTCAGGCCTCTGTGAGAAAGTCCCTGCTCCTGTCACTACTGTCATTTATCTCGGTCCCCTGTCACATCTTTAGACCAGTTTTTTCAGACAGAAAACTGACAAAGAGAGGACCACCCACACTCAACCAATCCGCTCTCAGCTCAAAAAGTCAAATAGTGACTCACAGGGTTACACCTTACATACATAATACACTTTTTTGTATCTTATAAGTTTGTACAAGATGCAGGTTGTGTCTGATTTGCTTCCAAAGTTACGTACCCAGCAGATATAAACTGAAAAACTAGCTTTGTGTGAACAGGTGAGGGTCAAGCCATTTATCTGAACATGCCGCCATCTTTGATCGCCGGGGCTTCGGTCTAAAATCCAAACAAAGCAGAACTAAAGCAGGACAAAAGCAGGACTCAACCGCTACTAAATCCTGACTAAACCAGGAGTTAAACCAGGATTCAACAAGGGCTAAAGTGGCACTAAACCAGGACTAAAGCAGGTCAAAGGCGGGACAAAACTGGACTACAGCAGGAGTAAAGCTGGACTAAAGCAGGACTAAACCATGATGAAATACGGACTAAACCAGGAGTTAAATCAGGACTAAAGAAGGGCTACAGCAGGACAAATGTAGTGAACAAAATAGACCACATTATGCTGCCTCCATCCCATCAGAAAGAGCCCTGTGAGTCACTATTTGACTATTTCAACTGAGAGCTGATTGGCTGAGTGAGAGTGATTCTTGTATTGTCAATTTTCTGTCCGAAAAAGTTGATTGATCTAACGATGTGGCAGAGGCTAAAGTACATTAAGACTAGTGATAGAAAGTTACGTACCCCAGCTTAGTCCTTCTTTAAGATACTGAGTGTATAGATTTAAGTCAAATCAGTAGGAACTTAGAGTATTAGGTCTGAGAGTATGTGAATATAGATTAGAATTAGGTTAGATTTGATTAGATGATGTGTTTATATAGTCTATAGTGGTATATTGTACTCACGGAGGAGATGCAGTGGCTGGTCCAGGATGTGGCTTCAGCTCTTCCTCTCGCTCAACTCGCTTCCTTGTTGTGACGTGAAACCATGCCAAACTGGACTAAGACTTACTTGTACATGTAACTCTATGGGAGCCAGAGTGAGTTGAAGCAAAACTTTGCCCATGAGCACTTCCCTATTGGGCATGATTGAGCTAGTGGGTTACATTGCCCATCTGTATTCAGTCTATGTTAGCATTGTCCAACTATATACAGACTTGGCTGGCATTGTCCATCTGATTCTGCCATAAGTTCTGCAATTTAGTCATTATTTGTCAACTTGAATAGAGAACAGAAATTAATACGAATGAAGTAACTATTTGACTAAAATATTAATAGAATGTTTTTGTTTCTTAAAAATGTTTAACTGTTTTTTGGCTTAAGTGCCATTATGTTTGAGTTTTACACATAGACTGTTTGTTTTACACAGACACCCTGGACCGGATGCACCTGTGTTTGTGAGGCTCTATATTTCCGGTACATATCTGGCTCACGTTTCGGGCTCAAATCGCGTCGTAAACAGCGAGTGACACAAAAACATGTGAGTAAAACACACGACGCAAACCACCTCTACGCCATGTTCGTCATAAAGTCTGTTCCCACAGCGCTTTGGAAGAAATGTCTGAAATTGCCCGGATAAGCTAATGCTAATGCTAACGCTACTCCAGCCGTGAGGGCAGCGAAGGGTGCGTGACGTCATCTACAGTCAAATAAATGTATTATTTTCCTTGTCTTAAAATTATTTGATGTAGTGTTATCGCGTAACTTAGACATTACAGTCATATTTTTATTCCTTGTGAATAAACAGAATAGAAACAACGTTACTTCATACTACATAATTTGTGTAAGCAGCACTTTCGTGTCGTTAAAGCTGAGGCACGTAACTTTTGTCTCAACAGAACGAAACATTGTTTGACTATCTGGATGCTTCACATGTCCTTATTCATGCACTCCATACTATAATAAACTACTACTGTGGCCATAGCTGCCATGGGGCACACTGACATAAGCGAGGCACCCGGTATGTGCCATCAGCCCCTCCCACCACCATCAACCATTCACACACCAGACTCATTCTAATGTGGGTGAAGCCGCAGCGGCCTCACTGTGGCACCTGGTGTTCCCAAGGGTCTCCCATCACAGTGCGAGCCAGCTCTGCACAGCTTAGCTGGCTTTCGCCTACAACATAGTCCTTTTTTGTAGTTTGAAAGTTAGGTTCCTATTGTTCTTCTAATGTACTCTGTGTAATTTTTACAGTTGCTCCAAAAGAAAAACGTAAAAGAACTACCCAAAGAAGAATCTTTTAGAAAATAAATTATGCAAAAATCTTGAAACCCACACCTAAACAGAGTTATGACAATAGGATGCACATTCCTGTAGTTTGTACAGAACAGACTCACACCTGAACAATACTAACTACCTTGACACCCACCGACAGTATTGCAAATGAGACAGAATCTGCAACACAGGTCTCAGGATCATCTGCAAAACAATCGGCAGAATACGCGTGAATTTTCTTACCTGGTGACGCAGACGCGGTGCCGTGTTGAAAGCAAATTTTAGTTTTAAGCTCCGTGTCTTCTCTTTTCACCGCGTTTGTAAAATCCCAGAGTAGATTCAGAACACAGACTTTATTTACATTTCAGCCTCTGTGCACGTGCGATGGAGGCACATTTGTTTACATTAGCGTTGCTGTGTCAAAGACATATGGGGTGATTCGGGAGTTGGGTACCACCAAGCCCCGGCGATCCAAGATGGCACCCTATTCAAATGAATGGTTGTGCTCAGTGGCGCTTTGTGACGGCATGGGGGCTGAAAGATTAGCGAAAGTCGCCTAGAACTCGCAAAGATCTATGGGAAACTCGCCTGTATTTGGGCATCGTCTGGTCCTTCCGGTTCTGCGCAGTGGATGATCTCCCATAATGCGTTGCGCCAAATACACGTGTGTGGGTCTAACACCGGGTCTCACGCACGTGCACAGAGGGGCTCGGCCGCGCTCTGACCAATCAGAGCCGTTCATCAGAGCGGGAGCCAGACGAGCAGACTTTGTGACACTAAAGTGTGGATTTAAAGAAAACCGAAGGATTTAAGAAGAAAAAAAGTTCAGGATGACAACTGGCACTAAAATCCCCACAAAATCCGATCTTTATTAAAGCTGTAGGTTCTCTGTCAGCTGAGGTTGAGCTGTTTTTTTTTTTTTGCCGGGCCACTTTACCGCGGTGAAAAACGGGATTGGATTTTTACCACGGACCCTTCTTGAGTGAAGGGTCCGGGGTTTTCTATGAAGTAAGACTAAATGTCTCAGAGTCCCAGTCCCAGCAGATCGGTGCCAACAGAGAGGTGAGTCTGAGCAATGTTTCTTCGCGTCATCCCAGGTCTCATCTGGGCTTTGAATTTGTTCAGTTCGGTCTCATATACTTATTTTTAGCTTATGTTTATATCTCCTCTTATCTTCTTGCTTTTAAAGTGCTTATATACAGTGCTATTCGCCCACTGAGTCTTTTAAAAGTTTTGAGTCATTATTTTTCTTTTTGAGTAGATTTTTTTGAAATTTTCTTTTTCTTCATCCAGTTAGTCAGTGCCACTTTATTGCCAAACTTGTTAACTCATTGTATTGAGAAATATTTGGGCTTTTGACAATGGGCAAGTAAAATATAAATGGTACTTGCCCGATGGGCAAGTGGCTGACAAATCTTAACGTCAAGGCCTGCTCGTAGTACCAAAGGACCGCAATATATGATCTCAATGCAAGATGGGAATAAAAACTACCTATAAGGAACAATAGGCACTAGGTCTATTCCATAATGGGGAAATTTCATTGTACGGACGATGTAGCTGAAAATGCTGCTTTAGCTTCAAATCTTTCAAATCAGCTATAATCACAATGTTCAGTACTTTTAAAACTAGTGTCATTTTCTTCTTTGTCACAGATTTGTGATGTTGAGGTGACGTCATGCTCCTGCTCCTTTGCCGCCGTCTTCCCTCCGTTGCTGCAGGGCGCCAATTCTCCAACCTGATCCAAGATGGCTGCCTGGTTTTCCAGTCGCAGTCCCTGGACATCCACCAGAACCTGGCACTGGAGGACTGGATAGAGTCTCAGGTGGACCTCACTGGCCGCCGCCTGCTGCTGCTGTGGCGAAGCCGCGTTGCCGTGGTGATCGGCCGCCATCAAAACCCGTGGGCGGAGTGCGATCTGGGCGCCATGAGCCGGGCTGGTGTCCCATTGGCTCGCAGACGCAGCGGGGGTGGGACCGTCTACCACGACTCAGGGAATCTGAACCTGACTTTCTTTAGCGGCAGGAAACTATATGACCGAGAACGGAACCTGCGCATCGTCACGGCAGCGCTTAACAGGGTGGTGCCAGGGCTGGACGTGAAGGCCACAGAGAGACTGGACATCGTGCTGAACGGGAAATACAAGATCTCAGGTAAAGTGTACGGACACTCAAAGGCATCTGATTGGTCGATCCTTAAATGGCTCATATCTGGATTTAAAAAGAAAATATCACAATATAAAAACCAGGATCACAGAAGTTGATAAACCACAGATTTAAGTGCGACACAAACGGTAAGTGAGCTAGAGGAGTCTCTCTCTGGTCTCTCTCTGCAGTCTCTCTCTGCAGTCTCTCTCTGCAGTCTCTCTCTGGTCTCTATCAAGACCACCGGCTACTATATACTGTTGAATTTAAATTATATATGCAGTGTGCAGGAGGGGTCAATAATGGGGAACCAAACATATCCATCCATCCATTTTCTTCCCCTTAATCCATTTCTGAGTTGGGGGGGTGGCAGTCAGAGCTGCTAGCCTGGCTCCAGCCGACCTTTAGCCCTGCCTCCATGGAATTTCAGCGGGCAGGTCGGTCTGGCATTTCTCAATTGAAAAACTATTATGCCCAGGGAAATAATTTACGCATGGCTAATGCCAGGCTAGCTCAGAACTGGTCCACAGCAGCTCACAGATTTGTTCATTAAACTTGATTGAGGTCATCGTTCATGTAGCTGTTGATTTAAAACATGCGTAAATCATGTCTCTGCTATTTTGTAAACCTCAACCGCTGAGTGGAGGGGCAGAGAGAAAAGACTGGGTCAACGGGCAAATATTTTATAGATCATGCTTTGCAGGCGCCTTCCATGATCCTTGTAGGTGACCGTGCACCTGTGGGCTAAGGGTTGGCTGCACTGTACTGTATCTCTCTACTCTCTACTTGAACATAACACCAGCCTGCCCAGGGAATACAGGTGGAAATTAGCATCTCTGCTATAACCTGGTTAGGGATGTAAATCGGTGACCGGTTAACCGGTGGTTGACCGTCACAGCGTTAACCGGTCAAAGCTGTCGGTTAAAAATAAGAAAAAGCGGAGAGGGGAGGTCTCTTAATAAGGCTATTTTAAGCCCTATTTGTACGATGTGACGAGCGGGTCCGTATCTAGCTGTGTGCGCCAATGCATTAGTAGACTACGGGCGACTTTCATGGCGCACGCTCCACATATGCACACACGCGCACACGCACGTGCGCACACACACACACACACTTCCCCCTCTCCATACGTAACATCCACACGCATCATCTCTCCCCTCTGTTACCGCCAAAGTTCCACACTAGTGCAGGTCAGAACTACATTGGAGCTTATATTTACACACACACACACACATATACATGTATTGTACACACACACAGACATATACACACATACATACATGTATTGTACACACACACATACCGGTCTGTCTCGCAGCCCAAAGAATCCTCGCAAATACGCGGCCCCAGTCAAACACATGAAACATGTTTGTGCTGCTGGTCCTTGTCATTAGATCAGATCCACACACATCACTTTTAAACTTTAGCGGAGACCTGCGAGACGCGGCGTGTAACTCGCTGCTCTGACCATGTGAACGAGCCGTCTTTTGCTTACAAAAATGCTTTAAAGCAGCACAGAAGGGATTAAAAAAAAGCAGTTCTCTGTGCGCAAAGGTGCCGAAGCTCCGCGGGTTTGGGCGCCGCTGTCACCTCTGTTTCCAGTAGAACATGAGCTGCACTTATGATCAAGACTGTCGAAATGGCTGTCTATTTCCATGATGTGGACTATCAATGTTTCGTGCTCCACTTCCCCTGTGTCTATCATATTTGCTTTTATTCTGTATGACTTATTTTTTTCAATGCTGTACTGCACATGAGGGAGTTGGGTGTCAGACCAATCGTCAGCTTTTACCAGTCTCTTTACCATTGGACCTAAAGCTCTAGCCTCGTGACCAGGGTGTACAGCCAAGGTGATGTGTGGGGACAGCAGAGGAAGACATGTAATACCACTCACACTGTTCAGGAAGCAGCCGTGTATGGGCCGCCACACCCTCAGGCCCAACATAAATGTAATCTGATTCTAATGTCCACCTATCACTTTCAATTTGTTTGAATTGTTCTCTGTACATTAAGTCTTGGTCTCTGTCATAGAATAATGTCAAGTGGGCAGGGTCCAGTGGGAGGTGGTAGGAGGCCAAAGAATTTATCCAGGGTTTCCACTTGAAGAAGACAGACTGCACACCATTATTGTCCGTGGACTTGTTTTCTGGGTCCAGTCTCACCCAGTATATGTCTGCATACTGGTCTGGCATCTCTTCTCTCAGAAGCCAGCAGGAGTCCATCGATACACCGGTCACACATCTGTAAATTTGCCCCCCTGGAAAAGTCACTTGTAGACCATCCGGTCCACATAGAATTGACGCATTGGTTTTAGTCAATAAGTCTCTTCCCAGCAGGTTGACAGGTGTTTTAGGAGCATTTACAAAAGAATGCCACAGTGTCTGTGTTCCAATTTGTGTCTTTAAACGTTTAGTGAGTGGCAGTACCTCAGGTGTCCCAGAAAATCCAACCAGGGTGATGTGCTCCTCAGAGAGCACATCAGTATCTTTGTATTGATGGTAGAGTAGGTGGCGCCAGTGTCCACCAGGGCCATCAGGTTGTCGTCCTCCACCCTTATGGGAAGCATAGGCTCTGCAAGCACCTTGTCCCCTGGATTTCCTAGGCAGCCCTAGTAAGATTGTTCATGTTCATACTCGCCCCAGTAATATTGTCCATCTCTCGGGGCCAGGTTGTCATTCGGAGCCGTCCATGGGGAGGGAGGGCCTGCGCGCTCTGGTCTGGGTCCCATGCCTCTCTGGGGGCCCCTCCCACGCACCATCTCAGGCGCTCCATGGTAGTAGGAGGCCTCTCCTTCAAAGGGGCAGTCCTTCGCCCAGTGACCGTGCCTGTAACAGAGCCGACACACATCCCTGCCCCCTCTCCAGCTTCCACCCCTTCTTCCTCCCCGGCCCCCACGCCCACCACCTCTGGCCCCTCCCCTTGTCCAGTCCTGTCGTGGTGGAGTGGGAAGTCCAGCAGGCATATTAGTCATCTGATTACTAGTTCCTTTTTTATTTTGGGTGGCTTTATTTCTAGCTTCACTAAGCTGTAACTTCAAAAGTTGACAAGTCATATCTTCAACACTCTTTCTTTCTTTAGTTTTATTTTCAACATATTGCTTAATGTGAAAGATTAAATTAGTCTTCCATTGCGCTGAATCTGGGTTAATATTAACTGGGTTTTCCTCAATTTTTGAGCGTATTGTTTCTGGTAAACCATTCAAAATAGCTGCTCTAAAAGGCATGACTTCACTGACCTTGTGAGGGTGTCTTCCTACTGTGTCCATCCACTTGGTCACACTCCTGTCATAAAATACAAGTGGGTCCTCAGACTCCAGCCAAGTTAACTCACGAGGGGCAGAAGACAGCGGAGTTGGAAAGTTTTCCCTCAGTGCTTCATACCAGGCATTTGCATATTGGCCAAATCTGGAAGAATCACAAACATCAGCAGTACCAGCTTGTCTTTCAATAGCGTCTCTCTCCCAAGGTTTACTGCATGCTGCCAACACTGCCCGGACGTCACCCATCGCCACATCATGACCTGTAAACCATGTGTTGAGACTGGAAATCCAGTTTCCAGCTCCTTGACACAATGGAGGCATTTTGTCTTTTATAGTCTGCATGTCACTTACAGAAAAAGGATGGTACTCCCCAGCTGCGCCTCGTCCTGGTCTCAGAGGGAACATGGATTTTGTCTGAGACCTGGTTCTGCTTGCCACCGGTCTAGTTTCCCCAGGCTCCTGGTCTCCGTCATCACTACTATCGTCAGAAAAGAATTTAGCTCCTTTTTTAGCCTGTTTAGCTTTAAGTACTGGTGGGGCCATGGCACCGTCTCCCTTTTCATTTTCACTGTCCGTCCTAGTCATGGCTCTGCGTGCGGCTTTATTAATTAATTTTGCATTCTCCTGTCTAGCGGTCTCGTAATCATGGGTCCTACTTGGGGTTTCTTCTCTCTCAACTCTGTCTGTGGTGCATTCAAAGGTCGGTTTCCTAGCTCTAATATTTCTGAGAGAGTGCAGGAGCAGCTCCTGCACCTCTTGGATGGGTGGGGGTTGGTGAGGGGTGTGTGGGAGCTGTGGCGGGCTGCTGACAGCTGGATTTTGACTCGGATCTCTATTGTCCCCCACAGACTCCTCTTCTGTCCCTTCGTCAAATTCCCTGTCTACAAAGTCATTGTCCCCTCTCTTTCCTACCGCCACTTCTCCTGAAAATGTATATTGTGGCAATATTAGATTTGGCTTACCTGGTTCTAAACCTAGAGAGTACTTTGGTGGAGCCGTGGGTAGGGATGGGTATATATTACTCACCGGCATTGCTCCGTTTTCTGTTTCCTTGTCTTTACTTACCATCGGTAATTTTGCCAACGCCGTGGCAGCCAAAGCAAAATTATGTACCTTGGTCCTCAGTTTCTCAGCCTTTTTTAGTTCCTTCTTAATTTTCCTACACTCATTCCAACTCTTTCCCTGCTTTCCCTCAAGGTCTAGTTTATCCTGTTTTAAATTATTTTCCTCTTCCCGCAAAATCTTAGCTAATGCGGACGCTGTCATATACTCAGGTATGACCCTTTTGTTCTGTATTTTTTCCCATGCTTTCACAGCCTTTCGTTTTGCCTTGTTCCTATGTTTTTTATCCAGACCACTCAAAATCTGAGCCTCTATTTCTCTTTATAGAGCTGCTCGATTTGAATGCCTGTCTCCATTTTTCGGGGGGGCCCAAAATTCCCCCAGGTTCCAATGGTGAAAACCTAACTTGTGTGTTGACGCGTCCGTCAACCACGCTAGTCACAGCGGGCTTTCCTGTTTCTGGCAAGGCTTCTCAAAAAATCTTTACTTTTAATGTATTCTCGCAGGGTTCTAGATAGACTCCTATTTTATTTAATTTTAACGTATTTTCGCAAGGCTCTCACTACTTTTTAGGCTTTTACTATTTTTACTTTTTGAATTAGCTCCTCCGTGGACAAAACTCCTCTCCCCTCGATTTGGTTAGTCCAATATGCAGATTTTTAATTAGTCAAAAGGTATCTGCTTACCTTCAGTTCAGCGGCCGCTTTGAGGAGAGATGTAGAGTCCAAGGGGAGGCTGAAAGTCATCAAAGGGATCACGTCGAGGGTCACCAATTAACGTATTAAAAAATGACGTGTTCAAAATCCCTTATAAAGATGACCATGATTCAGAAAGTTAAATTCAAAAAGGTTTATTTCCCTAATACAAAAAGAATCTAAAACAGCTGTTCGGACCAAAAGTAACTATCCCTTATTCTCTATATAAAATATAAAAGTATGACTTTGGTGGGCGCTCCACGCAAATCACACACTGCCCCTGGTCCAGAAAAAACTAAACTAAAAAACATTCAAGCTATTCATTAAGTAATGTGCAAGAAGAAGGGGGCGTGTCGTATCAGTCAGCTCTGGTCCCGGGTCCGGCCTCCATCAGGTCTCCTCGTCTCTTCCAGACCTAAACAGAATCATTTACACACTCCCCCTCCCCAACCTATAGATTTATTAGTTCCTTTGAGATAAGGCAGAGCTCTCAAGGCTTCTCCTCCAGATTCTGGGCTCCATCTCCTTCTTTCACAACTTGAAAGGATTAGCAGAATCCCCCCAGATTAACTATCATTAACTCACCCATGCACTTTGGACAAAATGGGACCAGAGGAGTGGGGCAATACAAGGTCTTTCTTTTTGCTTGGAAACAGACAGAGTTCAATTTCAGGTCAATCTAATTCACATCGCCTTTTAGTCTATATTTAATACAACAGGTCCCAACTTGTTTGCTTTTACTTCCGGGATTTACGATTGACATGTCCTTGTAGCCAATGAGGAACGCTTTCGAACAAGGGGTGGGACAATGGTGTCCTGTCTTATGTTGGGCCTGGACAATTGTGCGTAATGGAAGCCAAAAGACGCTCTCGAAGCTGCAATGAATTTACACTCATAAAAAAATTACTTTGACATTTAAAAAAGGAAAACACACATAGATTAGTAACTTATAAGTACCAATAATAAAAAATATCGTTTTTATGATGATTAAATGTAAGTAAAGATATTTGGCACAATTTGGCACACTTGTGCCAAATTGTGCCAAATGTGCACTACTTGATGAAAAGGAGAAACTGCATAAAAACTATAAAACTTAGAAGTCTGAAACTTTAGACAGTTGTTGTCAACAACACAATGAACAGAGGGTTTGAATATTGTGAACTTACAATGAAGTATGCCTTTTTTAGGGCCTTTAGAAATTGAAAATGTTAGGCGAGGCTTTTTTTCCCTAACTTCAAAGGATGCAGAGGAAAATAGGGATGACAAACATTATTTTAGTGTGTTTTTACATAAACTAGAAGGCTCTAGCTTTAAAATGATGCATCACACAAGCATGTGAGATGTAAGATGTGTTTTTAAATAAGAAAAGACATTTGGGTATGCCCAACCATTGTGCACGAGCCAAAATGAGGCGGATGTTAAGAGGTTAAGGAGTGACAGGTCTGTGAGAGCCACAAATCTTATTTTCAAGCATTATTTGCATATAAATTCTTTAAAAATCAGACAGGATTTTTTCCCCTCACTCTATCTCTCATAGCTGAGGTATCATGAAAATTACAGGCTTCCCTCATCTTTTTAAGTGAGAGAACTTGCACAATTGGTTGTTTACTAAATACTTTTTTGCCCCAGTGTACATCATTGCAAAAGAAGTGGCTGCATGGGGGCCAGGCCTTTCTTTGTGGTGTTCTCGCTGTGTAGGTTCCCTCTGGGTGCTCTAGATTCCCCTACAATTAAAATATGTCCGTTTCTCCCATCTCTGTGTGAAGTGAGAGACAAATGGCCACGGCAAGAGGCTGTGGAAAACTGTGGAAAAGTTTACACAGACCGTTTACCCGTGCGAGGGAGGGGTGAAAGGGGGAGGAGGGAAAGAGAGGGAGGTGAGAGAGGAAGGATGGATGCAGAGAGATGTTTTTATCAATTTAATTCATGAGCCCTCATAAACACCTGGATTCATATCTTAAAATGGTATCTTAATATTCCTCTCCAGGTGTGCGCGTATGCCTCCACTCAGTTGGTGAACCTGCAGAGGCACCTGCGCACACACACAGGGGAGAAACCCTACCACTGCCAGCTCTGCACCTACTCCTGCAGCTCCTTGGGCAACCTGCGGAGGCACCAGAGGACACATGCCACCGAGAGGAAGAGGAGAAGGGAGGAGACCAAGATGGGGAAGAAGAAGAAAAAGAAGAGGAGGGAGGGAGACGAGGAAGGTGAGCGAACCCAGCGACTGGCGCTTAGCCAAGAGGGTGAAGCCGAAGCAGTCTCTCTGGTCTCTCTCTCTTATATACACGTCTATCCCCCTTAGTCACCTCCTCCCTCACCCGCTCCTCAATCCACAGTGGCCTCCTCCCTGGCAGTGTCTCCTCCTGGATTCCTGTCTCTGGGCTCCCTGGACTCCTCTCGTTTGCCTGCGCTTCTGTTCCCAGTTCTGTGCAGAGTCTGTGGACAGAGTGTGGAGGAGGAGAGCGAAAGAGGAGACGCAGACACAGACACACAGGTGACCAATACACACACACACACACACACACACACACACGTGGGGACAGAAGAGGGAGATATGGGAAAGAGAGAATTGTAAATTCAGTAATATTTTATTCGGAACAGTGTGATTTGTTTTTTCTATAACATTTTTTACCCTAAATGTAAATATGTATTCATTAATTATTAGTATAATGCAGGATCTTGTCTGTCAACCTTTTAAAATTAATTTTTGAAACTTTGCATAATTACAGTTTAGTTTAGTCTCTAACCTATATTATTAAATGTGCCGTTGCTGCTCGCAGGTGTGCCGCGGCTGCTCCACGGCACCCTCGCCTCCTCCTGCTCCTCGCTCTCGTAGAAAACCCTCCAGGAGAACTCTTCACCGCTGCCCCCTGTGCCCGTTCTTCTCCCTGTACCCGTACCACCTGACACGGCACCTGCAGACTCACGACTCTAGCAAACCGCACCGCTGCGCACACTGCACCTACGCCTCCTCGCACCCAGACAACCTGAAGCGCCACATGCGTGTGCACACGGGCGAGAAGCCCTTCACCTGCGCCTCCTGCAGCTACGCCTGCGGGAACCTGGCCAACCTGCGGCGCCACGAGCGCGTGCACTCGGGCGCCAAACCGTTCCACTGCGGCGTCTGCGGCTACAGCTGCAACCAGAGCATGAACCTGAAGCGCCACATGCTGCGCCACACGGGCTTCAAGCCCTACAGCTGCGAGTGCGGCTATAACACCGGCCACTGGGACAATTACAAGAGGCACCAGCGCAAGCACGGCCACGACACCGACCTCTGGGACAAGCGAACATACGAGACCAACGCTGACCAGGCGGGGGGGAGCGAGATCCTGGACTCTAAGGAGAACCTGGACTCTAAGGAGAACGAGACTCGGCCATCATGAAACTGCAGCAGAGAGACTTGGATTCTACAACCTGCACACCGCCTCTCCTCTGCAGTCACGCGGCTGAATCCACACCAGCAGACTGACTGTTGCTGTCAGTGTTTGTCCTCATGGTCTGTGGCTGAAGTCCAGAATCCCTGTCAAACCTGCGCCTCCTTCTGATGTTTAATACAAGTGCTGTGTGAGTGGAGCTGATCTACATCTATCTTCTTTTGGGCTGAGGAGCGCAGCTCGACGTGTGCTGCTCCTCACTTAAAAATAACGATTAATCTAAATCAGTGCTGTTTAGAGCAAATAATAAAACAAAATAGAGTGAAGTGACCTAATTGGCGGGCTTTGGATTGTAATCATATAAAAGTGAGTTGTGTGCTTTATTTGTATATAGTTATGGGAGATATATGTAAACGCTGCTGATGGACTGTAAATCCATCCACACACTTTTTGTGTTCATGGTCAGTTCAGGTTTTTTCTTGCTGTACTTCATCAAAGACAATTTAATCTATTTAACATATTTTGATATATTTTTATTGTTAAAAAGGTATTTTTTCAATATATTTTTCAGTATTAGGGTTGAGCATCAAAATGATGTGGGCTTAAAGGACCCTCTGACCCCAGTATAAATATAAAAAAACAAAATAAAGGAACCTGTGATAAATCTACTTTTTATACAAGGCAGAAAGTCGCATATGTTCTTATCCTTTTACTTTCATGAAGCAGGTTTACTTGTATAACACAGTTCATACACAGTGCTCGTCAAAGCCGTCACAAACTCACAAAGCTGCAGATAGGTCTTTATGAATACCTTTTATTGTCTAAAGATTCGCATTCATCTTCATCTTACTCGTTTCATGTATTCCCCACTGACTAGAGTTGCAAAATTCCAAAAAGAATTTTTCAAAGATGGAAACTTTCCATTGGAATTTATGGGAATTAACTGGATATGTACCAAATTGAAAGTTGTCTCTTCACAGGGAACTTAAATATAGTTAAAGTGTTTGTCTGGAGTCTGAGAAAAAAGAGAGAGGTACAAAAACGACGCAAGCTCCCGCCCCCTTCCTTTCTGATTGGTCTACACCAGGGGTGCTCACACTTTTTCAGCATGCGAGCTACTTATAAAATGATCAAGTCAAAATGATCTACCTACTACAAAAATGCAAAACATATTTCTTTCTAAATATATTGAGGATTCTTTAAATCTACAATGTATGTTGATGTACATGCAAAACCGCATGATTTATGAAATCATTTACATTTAGGCACCGCCTCTGGCGGTCATCCAGGATTCATAGAGCCGCAGTTTTATTCGTTACTTTCGTTCTGTAGCGGCACTTACAGTCATAGTAGAAACTCTGGGTGAAGACGTGTTATTATAGAGCCATGGTGAAGACATATGTTTACAAGCATTGACCCCAGTCCTCAGCCCTGGTTTGATCCTGGTTTAGCTCCTGTTTTGGTTGTTTTCGAGCGTGCGTGATCACTCCGCTGCAGCAGAGAACAGTTTTTAAGGCAGTATGATCCATGCTTCAGTGATCAGAGGTCGCACGTTTTGTTTGTTGTTGTTGTTTTGGGGGCATACTGTGGCGTGCAAAAACGCAAAACTCCGGTTATCTCTGTCCACACGCAAATGCATAAACAGATATTTTATTTATTCTTAATTTAATGTGATCTTCCAATACTACCTTTGCGATCGACTGGTAGATTGCGATCGACGTATTGAGCACCCCTGGTCTACACCTACGTTTCCATAACACATTTAAATGTTAATCAGAGAACACATTATACATATACATTATTGATACACATGCACGGAGGTTTTCAGAATTATCTGTTCACGTTTTCATGACCAAAATAATGTTTTAATGCACGAAAAAAGCAATCGCGGAAAACCCGAAGAAGCTATTATCATGAATTGAACATTATAGGACACATCTGCAGAGGATCTGATTATGGATATAGGTTCAGTATATAAATGATTATGGATATAGGTTCAGTATATAAATGGGTAACTTAACAAAGAATTCTGAACATTTGCGCTAAGTTTTCATGAAGTTTCAGAGCCTAATGCACCTTGGTTCGGAGGCTCCGTGAAAACAAACAACTGAGCATGCGAGCATCAGCGCCAATGATTGACAGCCCTTGGCATGACTCGATTGGTTAAACTGGACGGCATCGTGGATTCTGAGCTATACCTACGAGAAGGGAAGGTATAGCTTCTTTTTTTTTTTTTACAAGGCCTTATGAAATACGTCTGAGAAATCCCCTGGCAAGAATCTGTTGGTGGTTGAGTTGTACATGTGTTTTAGGGGCTGAGATCTGCAGTTATGGACCTTCACAGAACTAGTTATGTGCCTTTGAACCTCCTAAAAGTCTATGGTCAAGTGTCGTTTACTGTAGGATTCATCAATGGAGATCTTTACTATATATTTCTCATTTTTCAACCTGAAGTGGTTCATGAACTTCTACTGTATTTCAGAATCTTCTTTGTAAATAGGAAATTTAAAGTTGGCACAACTGTATTTTTACATAAGACTTTTGGATTTAAATGTTTGTGTGAAAAGTGAATAAATGAAGGGTCCACAAAGTTCATTCATTTTTCATTTTACTTCTATTCCTTATTTTGAAAACATATTCTAGTCTTCCAGTTTTTATTATTTCACATTATTTCAAAAACCATGACTACTGCTCCCCGCCCTTCTGTCTAGTTACGTTTTATTTTATAGATCATAACTTATAAGTAATTTTTACATTGTAAAACATGACCCTAAATATAATACATACTAGTACTATTTTAGCACTTTTTGGACACTCAAAGATGTGTTACAGGACGATACAATAAAATGCATTCTTTTAAAGCACTAAATCAAGACAGCAGTCGTCTCAGAGGGCTTAACCAAACAAATGAAATCAACTCAGAGAATCAACAGTTAACACAAAAAATATAGAACACATGTATCGGTCCCTAGAGAGAGACCTATGTCCATTACCGAAGAATAATAAGAAACAAATAATAAACAGTTAAAAGGTACAGTGTAGTTTTTACTCCCATCTAGCGTTGAGATCATATATTGCAAGTCTCCTTCTACCACCAACACTACGGAAACCTTTGAGGACCATATTTCGTCTTTGGCAATGGTCCCCAACACCCGGTAATTCACCGGACCACTAAGGAAAAAATACTTCAGAGAAGAGACGCCTGAAGGAATGGGAAATCTGTGGGAGCTTAAAACCACGATGATCTGAGAAGCCAAGAGGACATTGCCTTGGACACAGCGGTGGCAGAACTACGGCTAAAAGATCAGGGGAAGAGCTTCTAAGGTGAGATCTCTTAGGAGGCCCTTAGTGACTTAACACTAGAAGTCCCTGAGAATTAAGGCCCTGTTTATACGGAGGTGCTACGCAGAAGTTGCCAAGCTATTAACAGAAACGACCAGGCTCCTAATGCAAATTTCACAGCGTTCATAAGGGATCAAAAACGATGTAGTTCTAGCGCCCGGCCAGTAGTGGGCAGAGGAACTTAACAACACGACACACACGACCCCCCAGCAGTATACTCTATGGATCTATTATAATAACTGTATAGGGTATTACTAGCTTGGAGCTGAAGAACTCATGTGCTCGGGGGATTCTCGTGGTACTGCAGACTAAATTCACGTGGGCTACCCAGAAATTTTCCCCATAGAACTCAATGTAAACTAAAACAGCTCGACCTCAGCTGACAGAGAACCTACAGCTTTCATAAAGATCGGATTGTGTGGGGATTTCAGTTTTCTTTAAATCCACACTTTAGTGCCACAAACTATGCTCGTCTGGCTCCCGCTCTGATGAGCAGTTCTGATTGGTCAGAGCGCGGCCGAGCCCCTCTGTGCACATTCATGAGAGCCACACATGCGTATTTTGCGCAACGCATCATGGGAGTTTATCCACTGCGCAGAACCGGGAGGACCAGACGATGCCCAAATACAGGCGAGTTTCCCATAGATCTTTGCGAGTTCCGCTAATATGTCAACGACTGTGCCGGCGCAAAGCGCCACTGAGCACAAACCATTCATCTAAATACGGCGCCATCTTGGATCGCCGGGGCTTGGTATACTCACTTCATCTGCAAGATGTGGAAGAATGCACTAACATCATTTTGCATTTAACAGCTGCTGCGAAAATGGAAACTGAAACTAGAGCTCCGCGTGGTTTTGTTTTGACAAACGAAGGCGTAGAATTCTCCGTGTAGCGCTCGAAGCACACAAAGCTAGTTAGTGTTTCGCCGTAATTGTTCTTTACGTTTGTTCTCGGCTACTGCGCATGTCCAATGTTCGTGCGGGGAGCAGCAGAGAATTCACACTTTTTTCTTCACGCGGGGTGAAACAGCCCCCGCTGAGCAGCGTATCTGAGCTGTCCCTCTCTGCAGGCTAGATCTTAACTCTTACGTTTTCACCTGGAACACAGTCTCCGTATGAAAAACATGGTGGAAATAAATATTCTTATAAAGGTCAAATTTGTTATTGGTTGACATGTTTTTTAATTTGTAGCCACTGGAAGAATTACACATAGTACCTTTAAGTGTTGGCAGTTTTGAAAAGGTGGGCTTTGAGTGATTTGAAGTTCTGTACTGAGTCAGAGTTCCTGATGTGTGGCGGGAGTGAGTTCCAGAGAGTGGGGGGAAAACAATGTTCAAGGCCCAAAGTCAATACTCATATTTTTTCTTTAAGTTCATAAATTGTGAAAATATTAAATTTTTCATCTAAACATTACATTAATTTAATCATAAATTATTGTAAAGACTAATTTTATTTGTTCACTGTTTTTCCACAGTTGTCTTTTTCTGTTATTTTCTATTTTCTTTAAAAAAAAAACTATAATTTTTCTTTGGTGGAGTTATTGAACAATCTTAAATTATTAATAATTATGTTTTTATAAATTCTAACTGTATTTGAAGTCAAATTGAAGTCCTTTAAGATATTGTTAATATTGAATCCCAAATGTAATTTATAGATATTTTTATGGAGTTAATTTAATCACATTGTAAAACATGAGTAAATATTGCTATGGGTTAAAATGAACAAATGTATATAATTTTCATTACGTCAATTATAAATGTAAGAATTTTAAGTTTATGACAACATTACATACTAAATCTTGTTCCAAAGAGGTATAGTAATTATATCATTTGTGTAGTTTGTTTACTTTCCTTTTCCACAGCTCTGGTCTTTGATAACCTGTGAGCTAAATATAAATTTTTGTTAAATATTAAATATTGATGTTGTGGGCCACACAATAAATTGTATGATTAATTAACTGTATAAATTCTAACTATGCCACAAATCTTTAAAGGAGCTATACCCGTTTCTGCAAGGTTTTTTCAGTTTTAATGTTTAGCACCGCCCCCCAACTCGCTCACAGGCTTCTCAATTTGAGAAACCCTCCTACTCTCTCCTACGCTCTCCTCCCACGGCGCCATCAAGTTTCAGTAGCAATCTGATACATTAAACATTAGCATTAGCACAACTATAAGTTCTCCAACAATCACTGATGAAATGGTACAAAAGCAACGCACTGCTAACAGAATATACAGTATAGGAGTCTTCTCCTCCTCACTTTTGCGTATGCAGTTACAGCCCGAGGAGGTATAGCCACTTTCTGCCTGGATGAGGCGTGGCCTGTTTGCAACAGCGCCGCCCCACTTTGTGCCAGCGGAGGAGGACTACCGTCACGCAGTTTTTTCTCAGCACTTTGCATGGCCTGAATTCAAACACAAGCTGACTCAATGAGCTCAATTTTTACAATTAAAGTCCGGGGTGTCTGTATACACATTTTTATGAAATAAATCAGGTATAGCTCCTTTGAATACATGGCCCAAAAGGATCTCTTTTGGTCATACTGAACCCTTTATGCAGAAAAGATTACAAGGTGATCAAGCTGAACAATTTGTCACAACTTGACAATGGCAATTATAGATAGTAAATTTTTTAGATTAATTCATAATATTTCACAAAGTTAGACTTGACTCTAAATATTGTCAAGCGTCAACATGAACACATATATTTTTAATAAAGTTAAAACATTTATGATTTTCAGTTTGATAGATCACGGTATTGTGCTAAATTGATTGTAAATTAGATTAAAGACATGTTTGTTTCAGAACTGTTCATCTGCGTTCTTCAGAGCTTCAAACCCCTCGATCTTCTGTCTTGTGTTTCCCCTCTGGATTTTTCGATACGACAAAGTTTTGTATTTTGACAAAGTCCTCGACGATCTCTGCTTCTCGCCGCCCTCGGGTCCCACCGTCTTGCACCCTGAGGAACCAGAGTAATTAGAACAGTGTTTAAAACATTTTTCCATCGCCAAACCCCCAATACCGACTCAGAGTTCTATCGGGCCGACTGTTATTGAGGGTTGCATCGCTACATTTGATTCCATTCCAAATTCACTGATTTGATTTGAAATTTATATATCATACATATATTTACATTTAAGTTAGGATTACCTAGGCTCAACCAATATCTAAATATTACATTTTTTGTGGAGGACGATAAGGGATGGTTGTGGTCTAAGTCATTCTCAATGTTCTGCTGTATATTGGCATTGGACAAACCTAGTGTGACATCACCATAGTGTAAGCTCTAATGCCTTAAAAAGGTTTGAACATGAGCTAGCTTGAGCCAATTTCCTTATATGGGCATTAGTTCTGTGGTGTTAACTTTGAGCTTTTGCTAAGGAGAGCTGGAGTTTCTCTCGCAAATGAAGGCATCAAATTCAATCTGTCAATCCTTATATGGCTCATGTCTGTGATTGCGAAGACAATATGATGTTAAAACGGCTCTGCTTGTGTACAAGTCTCTCCATGGCCTTGCACCAGAATACATTAGTGACATGTTGGTGTCATATGAACCGGCCCGGACTCTGAGGAGCACAGGGACTGGCCTCCTGCTGGTGCCCAGAGTGAGAACCAAACATGGGGAGGCTGCGTTTCAGATCCATGCAGCTAAGATCTGGAACAATCTCCCTGAAAATGTGAGGGAGGCGTCTACTCTGTCAATGTTCAAATCCAGGTTAAAGACTGTTCTGTTTGCCTGTGCATATAACTGAAGGATTTTATCTCCATTTTTAATGCACTGCTGTCATTTATTTATTTTTTTAAATTTCTTGTGTAATTTTGAAAGTTTTAATGGTTTTATTCTTTTGTGTGATTTTAATGTTTTAATTGTGTTTTAATCTTTTGTGTGATTTTAATGTTTTAATTGTGATTCTGGTGTTTGTTTTATGTGATGATTTGTGATGTGGACTGTGAAGCGCTTTGTGTTGCCTTGTGTATGAAAGGCGCTCTACAAATAAACTTTGATTGATTGATTGATATCATAATTTAAACACCAGGATCACAGAGAGCGATAAACCACAGATTATTTTAAGAACAAATTGGTGAGTGTAACACAAACAGTTACTGAGTTTACTTTTGCATAGAGCAAAACTTCACCAAGGGAGCAGGTTAGCATTGTCCATCTGTCTACAGTCTTTGTGAATGCCTCTTATGAATTATCTTGCACCAGATATTATATCACATTACAGACATCGTTTTAAAACAGGAAATAAAATGTACCTTTACTTCTTGATGCCTCCCTGGCATCCATCTTTTCTTGACTGCTTTCTGCTCCTTTGCTCTTAGGAGATCCTTCATCATCTGGGTTAATTTTATCACTGTCTCCTCTACCAGTGGTTAAATCTTTTTTCTTTGAGTTTGAATCCATTTCTACTCCAGTTTCCACGTCCATTGTATTCACATTTTGATCCAAATCTCTTGAAAGGTCAAAATTTGTTCCTTGTAAAACCTTTTTTTCTTCACCACCTATTACTCCGTCTTCTATTTTGGCTTCATCCAATTGTTCTCCATTGCTTATATCTTCTGTTTTGGAAAGCATTTTTCGGCTGTTATTCATGATTTCCTCCACAATGTGCCTTGCTAATTCTTCCGTCTGTGCTTTTTCGTCTTCGTCTTTCATTCCAACATTATCTTTTTTATCAGTTGCGATTGGAAAGCTGGAAAGTCTTTGACAAATGTGTTCAACGTCTGAGGATTGTTCTTGGCTATCTTCTTCTTGGCCATTATCACTATTCTTTCCTGTAACTTTGATCATATCTTCTCTGGAAATGGTAAAGTCCTTGTTTGAAACCACTTCCCGGTCAATTTCTTTCACAATTTGTTTAATTTCTGACCATCTCTCGTGGGTCCCCTCTGTGCCATTTTCACCAGTTTCTGCCGTAACCTCCATTGTCTTGGCGTCCATCTTTTCTTGGCTGCTTTTCAAAGTAGATCTTTCATTATCCAGGTTACTTTTACAGCTGTCTACTCTACCACTGTTCAAGTCTTTGCTCTCTGCGTGTATTTTAGTCAAATTTTGATCCAAATCTCTATGGTCAAAACTTGTTCCTTGTAAAACACATTTTTCTTCATATATTTCTACGTCTTCCATTTTGGCTTCAACCAATCCTTCCCCACTGATTATGTCTTCTGTTTTGGAAAGTTCTTTTTGGCTTTTATTTATAATCTCAACAGTGTTCCTGGCTAATTCGTCCGTCTTTACTTCTTTGCCATTGTCTTTTATTTCAACATTTATTTCTTGACCAGTTGCCGTTGGGAAGTTAGAATTTCCTTCACAAATGTTTACAATATCTGAGAATTGTTCATGGCTAGCTTTGTTTTGGCCATTTCCACCATTCTCTGCTGTAACTTTTAACTCATCTTCTACTGAGGTGGTAAAGTCTTTAATTTCCATGTTTGAATCCACTTCAACAACGATCTCTACGTCCAGGTCAATTTCTTTTACAAGTTTTGCCGTTGGAAAGTTGGACTTTTCTTCACAATTTTGTACACAGTCTGGTGCTTTCTCTTGGATTGCCATGCCTTGACCATTTTCCGTTCCTTTGCTCACGTCTTTGTTGCTATTAGCATCTGTTAGCTCATTCAGATTGGTTTCAATATCCACTTCCTTAGCATTATCTGTAGCCTTGTCCCCGTTAACTTGTTCAACACGTTCGTTTTTCTCAATTTTCTCCTCCATGACATTATTTCCAGATACTCGTTTCTCTTCAAGTGAGTCATCTGTGATTTCAACATTTTCTTTCTCAATTCCGCGGCAAGACAGTCGGACATTTTGGCTTATTTGCGTCACAACTATGTCATCATCTGTATCCATAACCATAACTCCTTCAAACCTGATTTCCTCGTTAGCTGTTGCAGTGTTTTTAGCACAATTAGCTTCCCCAGTTTTGTCGTAATCTTGCTCTTTGTCTTCTCTTTCCAAGTCCTCAATTGTTTCATGCCCCATTTGATTTATTTTGGTGCAATTTTCATCAAACATCTTAGAATTTTCAAATGATATTTCATCTCCTAAGACTTTGATATCCAATTCATTATCATCTATAGCATCTTCCACACTAACTATGTTCTTTGAATCGCTGTTTTGATCAATCGCTGTTTTGATGTCCACCATTTTGTTTATGTGGCTAGCATTTTTAGCTTCTTCATCATCTCCACGCATTTCCTCAACATTCTCTTCCCATGTATCCAGTTCTTGAAGGCTGTTGATATTGCCAACTTCCATCTTGTTATCAGTATTGCTGGATTGTACGGTAATATGTCTCGCTATTTCATTTGCATCCAACTTTACATCACTGCTTACTAAACTCTCATCTTGTACATCGGTTTGGCTTGCTTCAGCATTAGAATTGGCATTAGCATTAGCAACGTCTTCCACTCCATCGGAAAGACATCCTCGGTTGACGCAATCCATAGTTTTTTTGTCAGTACTGACTTCACCAAGTTTTGACACGTCTTTTTGACAGTTTGTAACAGTGTTTCCTTCGTTCACGGTTTTCTTGCAAAAGTCATTGATTTCTTCCGCCAGATCGGCCTCATACTCTTTGTTTTCATCTTTGCGTTGTTCGTTGAGCTGAAGAATGTCTCCCAGGAATCCAACGGCGTGAAAAACTTTGCTAACGATGGAGTCTTGGCTGTCCAGAACATCTCCGTCCGACCACCAACCAGCCATAGTAGCCTTTAGTTAGTGGCAAAAGCTACGAGCAAAAAAACTTTTGGACTAGTGCCCACCAAATGACCATTGCATGAAAAATGGCAACGTGTTTGGGTTGGATCAAGTGCTTGCTTTTACCAACTTGGACACACACTGATCCCTGGTTTATTGCAGGGGTCTGAACACAAGCCACAAACGTTTTCTTCTGACTTTAAATAAAATTAATTGTCATTTTATGCTAGCAGTTATATGATGTTGAAGTATGAGGAGGGTATGAGAAGCACGCTTTAAAAAAAATCACTGACTCCAAAACCGCAAGGGACCACTGAAGAGCAGGTTAGGACTCCCAGAAAAAGTTGATTAAAGCCGAATGATGTCAGCAGAAAAGTTATGCACCGCTGTCTCTTGTTGATGATTGAAAAAGGAAGAAAAGTTATGGATCAAGTTACGAGCAATGGAGGATCTTGACCAGATGCAACAAAAATGTGTTGAAAAAGGAAAATAATATCCCACACCTTCCGTGAAGAAAATTGCTTCGTGCTCCGTTTGTGTGAGAGTTGGAAATGTGAGGATTTGAGAAACAAGAATCCAGTTTGTGAAGCTCACGTTTTTGCACACATGCGATTGGCTAATGCTATAATCCTATTGGAGTTTGACCATTTTGTTTCAATGTGAGAATTCAGAATACAAGGCCTCTGCTGATGATAGGAAATGTGCAAAATAATCCCAGTGGACGAGCCTTTCCTCGGGCAACTTCGTCCTTCGTCCTGATCTCTCCTCGGCTTCTTCAATATCGCAGTTTGTTCAACCATTTGCCTGTTAATCGGCAGGGTCATGGGCAAATTGTTAATATACATTTCAGTGGCGCTCAGAAATGTGGCCCCCGACGTGAGGTGATTCAGAGTAACGTCTGAATCAGAAACTATAAATAGATGGTTAACCTGCTAGCTCAATGAAGCCCGAAGAGGAAGTGTTCATGGATGAAGTTTGGCTCCTATTGACTTACATGTAAAAGTAAATTCCTCTATCTCAGTAACCGTTTGTGTTACCCGCACCATTTTGGGCTAAAATCTGTGGTATTTATATTGTAAATAAAAATCCCTTTAACTTAAATTTTGGACCTTGTTTTCCTGGTCTTTATAGAGGTTTAGTCATTCTATCAATTACAACTCTTAAACTTTACTTACTGTCTTATTGGCTTCAATGTACAGGCCACGTAGGCATAGGATGGCTGTGGGCTAAACATATGGCTTTCTCACAGACCAATCACCAATGTAAAAAATATAGTACATTTATAAACTATGTCTGAATGCCTCATAAGCACTTTTAAAGTACAGGTGTAAGCATATTTGAAACAGTTTTAGATTCAGATTCATTTATTTGCCATTTGCAGTAAAACCACATTGGAAAAACTGTGCAAGACTACCCCAGATTTTAGCAAGCAATAATAATTAGATATTATTAAATTATTAAAACTTTTCAACAGAATATATCCCTTTCTGCTCTAAACATGTTGTGTAATCCCGCTATAATGTCCCACTTGTATAAATATTCTCCTTGTATAAGAAATCTCCTTTTCTTCATAATCCTGGTGGTATTTTGAATTTAACACTTTTCACATGATGGAGTTATGTCACAGAGAAAACCACAGGGCTGATCCTCGCTCTCAGGGGCCCAGTCTGGTCTCTCTCTCTCTCTGGTCGCCCGCTCTCTCTCTCTCTCCCTCTCTGGTCTCTCTTTCTGGTCTAGTTCTGGTGATTAGTTCAGAGGACTATCACAGCTGCTGAGTCCACGTTTCGGGGGGAGCCTGCGTTTCTGCCAACTCACTTCAAACACATCAATTTAGTTTGGAACTAAACGTTTGAAAGTTCAATTTTCGACTTATTTAATCTAACCGATTCCAATCTGTCTCTAGTGGTTTGGGGAGACGTGTGGATGTTAAAGCCGGTGCTACATAAGTTCTAATCTCAACAAGCTGGTCAGGAGGGCCAGCTCATGGGCTGCTCCCTGGACACTGTGGAGGAGGTGAGGGACAGGAGGGTGCTAGTCAAAGTCACCTCCATCATGGACAACACCTCCCACCCACTGCACAGGACTGTGGAGGAGCTGAGGAGCTCTCTCAGTGGAAGAAGCAGAGGCGTACCTTGCCATTAGGTAAGGCAGGCAGCTGCCTGGGGCCCCCAAACCGGCAGGGGGCCCCCGAGGGCCGACTGATTTGACACAAGTGGCAGGCAGCTGCCTGGGGCCCCCAAACCGGCAGGGGGCCCCCGAGGGCCGACTGATTTGACACAAGTGGTCGACTACCTGCAGTGACGGGTTGACTGATATAAACTTGTCGTCTGAAGTTGTCTAGTGGTTAAGTTACAGCGCTCGCGCTATGACGGCCCGGGTTCGGATCCGAGTGAGAGCAGTGTTTTGGATTAAACTATAAATTATATTATATTCTATGACAGATTGCTCAAGAATGGTAAAAGGTAAAAACACGCCGTTTTTTGCAGATTAAACCTAAGAGCTAAGATTTTGTAGGATTGATACACTTTGGTAGGTAGTTTTTGTGATTAATTATAGCATCATGAGTAGGGATGTACCGAATCCAGGTTTTTGGGGTTCGGCCGAATACCGAATCCACTGGTTAAGATTCTGCCGAATCCTAACCCGAATCCTATTCCATCCTCAGTCCATTGATGTTTCATATGCAAATGTTTTAACAGCGGCGGTGTTGTGTACTGTTTAGGGTCCTTACCACCACGAGTCAAATCGGCATTGCAAATTGGACATGTAGCTCGACCAGAATCTATTATTATAACATTTATAATAATCCCACTTATCATTAAACACAAATACATTCAGTTCACAGCAGTGTAAAACTTCAGAGATAAAGTACATAATATTACTGTGCATGTCATGTAAAAATAAGAGCTAAAGCACCATACATGCATAAATAGCTTCCACTGGTTCAGGTCAAAACATTACATATATGGACATTTGAGAAATATGCCAAACCCGTCAGAGACAAGTTGGAGAGAAGATAATGCTAAGAGGCTAGTTGCCTAAACATGGACTCACCAACTCTGCTTCTACAGTCATACGCAGCTCAGATGACAAGTACCTGGCACTGGTAAACGGCTCCATAAAGTTGGTGAATAGGAAGTTAGTTTATGATCCCATCAGAACCGCATTACAGGTGAAAACAAGAATCATAACATCCCCTCGCACCGGCATATGACTAGAGCTAATTGGTCCGCGAAGATCACATGACCAGGAAGAGACCTCAGCGCACCCAAAGAGGAACAGAGAGCAAGAGGATATAAACCTCCGCTAAAGTGCATGTTTATTAACACTTCCGAACGAATCTGATTTCCGTGACGAATCCAACAGCCACAGCGCGCATAGTGTAAGTGCAGGGTTCGGGTTCGGCCAGAAACCGAACCCCGTCAAAAAAGCCAATTTTCGGCCGAATCCGAACCCGAATCCTGGATTCGGTACATCCCTAATCATGAGTGAAGTGAACAAGCTTATAAAAAGACATGCTAAATCATTTCTCATTGCTTTGTGTCACGATAAGTACTGAAGTACTCACAACTTTCTATGGTAGACTGTACAGTATGCCAGGCAGGCCCCAGGCCTATCCATTTATTGTTAAAAATAAGAAGTTATCTACATTTAATTTATATTAATGTAAACAAGTAATAGATATTGCATTTTACATTATTATAAAATATATATTTATACCTACTGTAATATAAACCTTTTTATGTGGTCAGTATCTGGGACCCCAAGGACTCTGTTGCTTGGGGCCCCGGGGTACCCTTGGAACGCCACTGGCAAAAAGATGCGTTACTGCAGGGCCTTTATCCCCACCGCTGTCAGACTATACAATTAGTCACTTTAACTGTACAATATGTTACTTTAAGTCACTTGCACTAGGACTAAAAACCTGGACTACTATTGCCACTTTTTTACTGTACATAATGTATCCTGAACAGAATATATGTTTTGCCTATAACATGTTTGCACAAATCTGAGTGATTCTATCCATGTCTTATGTGACATGTACATTTCTCCTGTGTGAGATCAATAAAGTCTAACTTATCTCACCGCTGTGTTTCACTTCTACTTATGCGCTGTGGTCATGAGTAGTCGCAGTACTTCATAAGTCCACCAGGCGCCGCCAGTGCACTGGCAAATATCCACGATCGTTGTTAAGCACCCTGAGTTGCTTCTGTGTGAATGGTGCTTTATAAATAAATCTGCCTCGCCTTGCCTTCTTGTGTAAGAAAAGAGTCACTGTTTGACTGTTTGGTCTGAGAGCTGATTGGCTGAGTGAGGGGTGTCCTCCCTTTGTCACTTCTCTGTCTGAAAAAAACTGATCTAAAGACAGAGATCAGAAACACATGAAACTAGAAGCAACTGTTTTAGAGACAAGAACTAGATACGTGGATTTTATTACCTGTTATTGTGGTTTAAAAATTACATACCCCCGTTTTAAGGTCATAAGAGTTTTAAACCTATTTGAGCACAAAATCCACAGAGTCTATATGATTTTATAAACATTTATTTGAAAAATAGAAGATCAGGGTTCCATTTCACTTTGTAGTTACCTGTGTTAAAATAGTAACAGACGCTTCCAAAATTACTGTGCTTAAAGGAGCTATACCCGTTTCTGCAAGGTTTGAATGTTTAGCAGCGCCCTGAACTCGCTCACAGGTCTTTCATTTCCCCTACGCTCTCATCCCACGGAGCCATCTAGTTTTATTTGCGATCTGATACCATGGATCTAGTCTGATACATATGCAAACATTAGCATGAGTACAACTTTTTGTAAGCTGTACAACAATCACTGATGAAATGGTACAAAAGCAACGCACTGCTAACAAAATATATAACTGAAAGATTACCACTAGTTTCGAATACTCAATTATAATTTATTATACAGCTCCTCACAGCAGCAGTAGAACGCTCCATTGATTTGAATCTAATTTCAAAACGTTTTACCGATAATTTTTTCTTAATAACAGAACTCTCAAACCAATAGTGACTGCTGCCCTTTGGCAACGCAATCTCTGTTTGTAATTCAGGTGTGTAAAATACTAACATTTCTCCACAAGTACAACGAGCTTTCAGCGCCTGTCACCACTTCTGTCTGCGCAGAGAAGCTAGCGGAGCTAGCCACCCTCAATAAACAAATATCAAACAATCAACACCTTTAAATGTTAATTGGAATACATTATACATATACATCCTTAACACACGTGCACGGAGGTTTTCAGAATGATCTGTAAACGTTTTCATGACAAAAAAAATACTGTTTTAATGTGACAAAAACAGTGGGGGCGGGTCCCGGCTCAAAAGTGGCCAAAATTATGTGCGCTGACATGCTTGCAATACCACCCCGGGCCGATGGGGGTGGATCCGGAATAAGAATTAGCCAATGCTAACATATAGCATTGGCAGACCTCTTGAAAACGTCTTTACAGGATGGTCCAAAAGTTGGCTCTTGGCCCAAAGCTCCGTTCCACATGTGTGTCAATGCTGAGGGGGGTGAAGTAACCATTAACATGAAACGAACATTTTAGGACACATTTGAAGAGGATCTGATGGATTTAGGTTCGGTATATAAATGGGTAACTCACCGCTGATGACCAGAATTCTTTGTTCAGTTTTCATGTAGTTCCAGAGAGTTTTTGAACTAGCTAGCTTAGCTGTTACCTGGCTAGCACGTCATGGCGAAACCTTTGGGAGCTGACTATTTTATTTGCAACATTTCAAATATTAAGGGCTGTCTAATATTTGTTCGAATAATATGTATATATTTTAATTTTCAAAATCGAATTTAGAAGTCAAAGCCCTCGTGTTTAGCAGCGCTGTAGAGGCTAGAGGACGCAGGTTGTTAGCTCACCGTTTTGTGATTGGAGGAGAGCGGGCATCACGCCAAGCCTCTACTCTTTTTACGGCCTAAATTCACACACAAGCTGAATCAATGAGCTCAAGTTTTCAATTAAATTACGGATTTATAATACTACTTGTATGTAGTAATAAGCATTTTTATGAACTCATTAGAAAAAAAATTGGGTATAGCATCTTTAATATGAGACTGATGTGGAGGATTCTGTTAAAACTGTTGAAATAAACCATTTGAGAATAAGAAGTTGAACATGTAACATCACAAGGTGTGACATTGGCATCTTTTTTACAAAAACTAATTAATGAAAACAAAGTCAAAAATTATGAAACATTTCAAAGGTTTCTGTCGGCTCTACAGTCTGTATGTGTATCTTTGTCTTTCTGTGCATGTGTATTTATTTTAAGAAATGAGATCCATTTAAAATAAGATAATAAGTAATGTTTTTATATTGGTAAACAATACCGATTTCTATCCAGATTTTATTTTGATCAGTAGTGCATATGTATATCATTTTTTAAAATTTGTTTTGACTGTGACAGAAATAATCAATAAATCACATATAACTACATCAATAGTGCTACGTTTTCTTTGATTTGTTTTCTACTGAGTCAAAATCCCTAAAGTACAAAACAGACTCTACTGAAAAGAAAAAATGTCTTCAACCAAGAACAGTTCTCTGAGAACTCACTCTGTGAAGAGACCCTCTGAGCGCTCAATGAAAAAATATATACAGTGTGTCTTCACTGCTTTGGTTCAGACTCTAGTTCATGCGGCTTGTATCTGTGCAGTATTCAGGGCTTAAAGCTGGGGTTCGTAACTTTCTTTTGTTCGTGATATTACTTATGGTTTGTTCCAGCAGAAAGTCTTCATCATTAGAAAACATGTTATCTTTGTGTGAGAAAGAGCCCTGTGAGTCACTATTTGACTCTTTGGGCTGAGTGAGAGTGGTCCTCTCTTTCCCACTTTTCTGAATTAAAAAGGTGATCTAAGGGTGTAACAGAGACCATGAAACTAGTGATAAAAGTTAATTGTTTTAGAGCCCGGACTTAGTGATATTATTATGATTTGAAAGTTACGTACCCTAGTTTTAAGTTGACCATACCTAGCTCCAGTTCTAGTCCACACAATCCGTTTGGCTTTAGTCCTCGTTCTTTTTGGCCTTTGCGTCCTGCTGCTCTCTCCACGCCTTCAGGACCTCGTCGTCTTCAGCTTCGGCCAATGCTCTCGCTCTGACCCTCTGCCTTGTTTGAGCGAGGAAACTGGATATATCGTCTTCCTCCTCCTCCGCAATTGCCTCCCTCCTTCTCTCCCCCTCTCTCCCACTCCTCCCCAAATCATGTGAGTATTCCCCACTAGTGTCATCGCCAAACCGAGGCCTATATCTCGCCTCGTATCTCTCTCCATCGTCGTCGTCTCCTCTCGGATCCCCGAGCACTGAAGCCGATGCGTCCAGGTCGTCGTAGAGATCGTCAAGGTCTTGCTCTGTCTTTCTCGGCGGAGGTCTCACGCTCTTCAGCCAATTGTCAATGCTGCTGGTATTTCTCTCCTTCTCTAGAAGCGCCGGGTTCAGATTGAGGCACCCGGATTGGCCGAAACTTCGCACCGGTTTCTCCTTTTTCTTGGCCTCCTGCAGGAACTCCTCCTCTCTGCGTTTGCGCTCCTCCACCTCCTCCTCATCTTCGTCGTCGTCTTTCGGTTTCTTCTTCTTGTACAAAGTGCTGCGTCTGTTGTCTTCCAGAATCTTCTTTTTCTCATACTTGTCCATTGTTTCTCGCACTTCTGTCCTGATGTCGTTGTTGATTTCGTCCAGTTTCTTCAGGTCCACCTCGTCCTGGAACAAGCTGAACAAGGGAACACTCGTGGTTGTGATTTTCTTCTTTCTTGTACCAAGACTGGACTCGTAGCTCGAGCCTAAAGTTGACCCGAGAACGGATCCTTGCCCAGTCAGTCGCGAAGTAGCTCCACTCGCTCCAGAAATTACAGTATCTGCTTTAGGGCGGTTAGCATTGAGATAAGAGGCGCCGCTAAGCATCGACGCCTTGTCCACCTCCATTCGTGGCCCAGATAAAACGCTACCAGCTCCTAGACTGCCGTAGCTAACCTCAGATCCAGCTCTAGATGGTGGCAAACTCATCTCTGTTGTCTTTTGCTTAATTGTTTCCGTCACAACGTTAGAAATCCAGTTTTGAATGCTAGCCAGGTTCACCATCTGCTCCCCACCTGGGCCTTGCACTGTTGGAACTGGCAGAATTGGTGGAATTATTGGCAACACATTGGACTGTGTTGATTTGACGCTCCTAGCCTGCGACACAGATGATATATTGGAGGATCTTCCACTGATCATTGACAGGTTATCGTCGTTGTTTTGGATGCTAGGTGGAGCTGTGACCCCTGCCCAGAACGCCGATAGCGGTATAGTCCCCCCGCTAACACAGCTCTCAGTCTCCCACCCGCACAAGGACTGGCTTTCCTCCAGATTCTTCTTGGACCGCTCCAGAATCTCTTCTCTCTTCTGCCGCCGCTTCGCTGCTTTAGTAGACTCCTCTCCTCGGCTGAACTCCACAAAGTCCTCGTTGCTATCCTCGACGCCCAGCCGCCTCTGCTGCCGTAGCTTCCAGGACTGGTACGCGGTGAGATTGACGTCTTCATAGCGCTTTGTAGATGCCTCTTCCTCCCCCTCTTCGCCGTTGAGGACTGTACTTCTATCGCCATCTTCGCGATCTTTCTTATTCCAACCAAACTGGATCCGCTTCACTCTCCATCTCTCCAGCGGGGTCATGCTTTCTTTGTTCTTCTGACAAAAGTTATACATAGAGGTTGTGTCAGACATGAGGCTTTCCACTTCGTCGTCGATTAGCTTCTTTGCTCCTTGCTCCTTCTTCTCCTCTTCCTCTTTAACTTCTTTCTTACGATATCTAGCTGCGGCTTGCTCTTCAATCTCCTTCAACCTCTGCTTCCACAAATCGGAGTAACTCGTGCAACTGGACGCAACAGAGACCTCGTCCCTTTGCCTCATCCTCCGCTTCAGTTTCTCCTTCACCGATCTCACATCTTCGCTCGTCACGCTCTCCAAGTCTCCACTTTTCTGCTTCTTGTTCGTTAGCACCGCGCCCAGTTCCTCGTCCTCCGCGTCACTGTTCAGCTGCGCCTCAAACCAGTCGTCGTTCTGATATTTCTCGTTGCGTCTCTGCCATTCCCTGATGATGCTGTCCAGTCCGTCGTCGTCGTCTTGGTTAAAGTCCTGGTCGTCTTCGTCCTGAGGCAACACCAGCATTGGCTTTGAGTCCTCATTCCCGGCCCCCGCTTTGGGAATCAACCCGTTCCGTAGAGCTTCCGCTGCAGCTGACGATGCTAGCGACGGAATGCTACTCATAACGCTAGCTCCATCCTCCTCCTCGTCCATCATGATGGAGTGGGCTTTAGCCTCCGCCACGCTCTCCTCATCGACCTGCAGTAGAAGAGCAGTGTTATGCTCCATCCATGCTGACATCAGGAACATATCTCTCTCTAGCCTCTCTCTTTAGTTCCGCTTACCGGTCTTTCGTTTTGGTCTCTCTCTGGTCTCTCAAGTCTCTCCATATGGTTTCTCTATCTTTTGTCTCTCTCTCTCTCTGGTATCTCTGATCTCTCGAGTCTCTCTCACTCTCTATGGTCTTTTCCCTTTAGTCTCTCTCTCCTTGGTCTTTCTCTCTTGTCTCTCTCTGTTTTCTCTGGTCTCTTACCAATATCTCTCTCTAGTCTTTCTCAACTCGCGCTCTCTCGCTCTCTCTGGTTTCTCACTCTGGTCTGTCTCTCTAGTGTCTCTCTCTGGTCTCTCACTGGTCTCTCTCTCTAGTCTCTCTGGCCTCTCTAGTCTCTCTCTTGCTGTACTCTCTCTGGTCTCCCTCTACTTTCTCTCTGGTCTCACCTCGTCCTCAAACTCCTCGTCCTCATAACTCTCTCCAAAGATCTGCCTCCTGGTCTTGGCATCGATGACAGAGCACTGGCTGAGGGTGTCATCGTCATCGTCTCTCTCCTCCATCAGGGTCTCGTTGAAGTCTCGAAGCTGCTTGAGAAACCCCTCGTTGGGGGAGATGGGGCGCTTGTTGCGAATGGCAGTGAGGGCCTCGAGGACCGACATGTTCTGGAAGATCATGAGGTACGACGCCACCAGGACGGCTGAGCGACTTATGCCCATCATGGAGTTTACCAGGATTTTGCCTAAAACCAGAAAAAGGAAAAACAGATGGGAATAGGTTTAGTTCTCATTTTAGTTCAGTCTGACTTGAAATATACATGTTGTGCTTTTGTCTACTGTAGAAGTGTCTGTTTTAGACCTGCTTTAGTCTCTGCTTCAGTCTCTGCTTCAGTTTCTGCTTCAGTCTCTGCTTCAGTCTCTGCTTCAGTCTCTGCTTCAGTCTCTGCTTCAGTCTCTGCTTCAGTCTCTGCTTCAGTCTCTGCTTCAGTTTCTGCTTCAGTCTCTGCTTCAGTCTCTGCTTCAGTCTCTGCTTCAGTCTCTGCTTCAGTCTCTGCTTCAGTCTCAGCTTCAGTCTCTGCTTCAGTCTCTGCTTCAGTCTCTGCTTCAGTCTCTGCTTCAGTCTCTCGCCTTTATGTGTGAGTAGAGCCTCGTCCATGAACTCTGCTGTGGGTCTGAAGTGCTGAGAGATGTCACTGTCTGAGAAGTCGTCCACCTCGATGCCCATGTAGTGCAGTCCCATGCCGCTGTAGAAGGTGGCGCCGGTGTACACTCCGGTGCCATGAGCCGCGTTTAGGACGTGAGTGACGCCCATGCGCTTCAGACGAGCCTTGTTCACTGCCACCGACCTGTGGCAGAGGAGCTGTGTTTAGCTTCATCCATGCTTATAAGACAGGTGTAGCCCCGCCCCCTTTCAATCTTCTCTAGTTTCTATCTATGGTCTCTCTCTGGTCATTCTGTAGTTTCTTACTCTAGTCTCTCTCTCTCTCTGGTCTCTCTCTCCCTCATTCTCTTTTTGTCCCTCACTCTCTCTGTCTCTTTCTCTTAGTCTCTCAGTCTCAAGCTACATTCAGACCAGATCATTCGTTGCGTCCAGTTTCAAAGCAGTCAATGGTGACGTCCGTTTGTGCAAAGAATTGCATGTGCGTCACGGCACGCACGTTTGTCCTGCGCTGCATACGCTACGTTGCAGCGCGTCAGAGGCGGTGTGTACACGAAAACGAAAAGCCAAAATAGGAACTAAACCAGAATTAAACCAGGACTGACAAAGGGGAACAGAGTGCTTGTAAACAACAGGCTTCCAGCCTGAGTGACTGTAAACAAGTGCCACTAACGTTCCGATGCGGAAGAACTGTTTAATATTAAAATAAACTGATGCCGCAGCTTCATGAACACATATGAAGTGTGAACTCAGAGACGCTACTGAGCTGCATTTGTAGAGAAGAACACAAAAAGCTGCTAGCTTAACCCTGTTAGCATCAAAGCCCGCCCATCCTGCGTTTTGGGGCATCGCAGGGCAGTACATCAGATTTACTAAACTCACACGGCAGAAATTTAGAGAACAGTGCGCATGGACACTGGCGTTCAAGCGTTGGCGGTGTGAACGTAGCTTTAGTCCCCCAGTCTCTCTCGCTCAGTCTCTCTCTCACTTCTCTGCGATGTAGATATTAGGCCACACTTCGTCCACAGCATTAGTCGGGGCCTCAGCTCTCTCCCTCAGCAGCGCCCTCTGCAGGTCGAGCACACAAGGCGTGTTGTAGGGAGAGCGCTCGTCCGTTAGCTCCTTCACGCGCTCGTACAGGTCCTCCACCATCTGCTGCTCCGCGGGTTCATAGTACGAGTCTGGGTACGAGAATGTGGGTGGGCCACGAGGCGGGAGCTCTGTGGAGAAACACACACATACTGTTAAAGCTGGGGTATGTAAGTTTATTGACTTCAGTAAAGTCAGTAAAGCTTCTTCCGGGAGGACCAAGATGATCCACTCGGAAGAAGTAAATACTCCCTGATATCTTTGATTTGAATGTCTCAGTAATTAGAGCAGATAATGTATGTGTTCCTCTCCTGTCTCTGTCCCCGTTGTGGGAGGTGCTGGTCCTCCCCCTGTCCCGCCCCAGCTCCCCCAGTTTGTTTGTACTTCCTCAATCTCTGGTTGAGGTCGCAGCTGCCCCTGAAGAGGACACGTGGAGAGAGGAGAGAGTTGAGAGAGAGAGGAGAAGAGATAGAGGAAAAAGAGGAGAAATAATATAGAGAGAGAAGAGATAGAGGAGAGAGGGCTAAATCATTTCACAATCTAAGACTCTCAGGTCTTGTCTGCACAGTTACATCCGTCACATTTTCTTATTCAATATAAAATTATATATCCTCAATTAAAGTTACGTCACTGAGCTCTCGTGTCTGTGTCTGCACATGTCTCCACAGTCGCAGAAATCCTCTCGGCCTCGTTAGCGTTTGCAGCAGCTAACGAGATGAGCGGCAGAGACTGTGACGCCCAGAGCTTTCTGTTCATTTAACTCATTCACAGAGATTGTAAAGAGAGGCCAGCAGAGGACGAGTGAGATTAGAGGAGATTAGAGATTATGAAAACAATAGAATGTTTCTACTTTGTACAGGGGAGAATTAAATATGTGTTTAAGATGGAAGAGTTGGACTGAACCAAGACATGCCAGAGAGAGAGAGAGACAAGAGAGAGACCAGAGAAAGAGAGCAGAGAGAGGCTAGAGAAAGAGAGCAGAGAGAGGCTAGAGAAAGAGAGCAGAGAGAGGTCAGAGAGAGACAAGAGAGAGACCAGAGAGAGAGAGACAAGAGAGGCCAGAGAGACAAGAGAAAGAGAGCAGAGAGAGGCAAGATAAAGAGAGCGGAGAGAAACCAGAGAGAGAGAGCAGAGAGAGGCAAGTGAAAAAACAAGAGAAAGACAAGAGAGAAAGAGAGCGGAGGGAGGGACTGAGAGAGAGACTGTCTGAACACCTTCATTGATGATTTTCTTGGCGGCGATTGCAGACGAAAGGTGAATCGGTTCCATGAAAATGCTGTCGGCTTCAGACCCAGAGATCATCGAGAACCGAGAATCAGACATCAAGGAGAAACTGAGGAGAGAGAACAGGACTGAACCAGGTCTAAAGCAGGACTGAACCAGACCTCAGTCCAAACGTTGTGTCCAGAAGTGTACCTCCCATTACACCCCGCCATGTTGAATTTAATTACGAACACAGTGTAATGCTCCACTTTCCCCACTTGAGGTCAGTGGTCCCTTTTTTTTACTAATCCAGCGTTTACATAAAGTCAATAAACAAAAGTAATCGTACAAAACTGGGACACACTTTTAATATTTAGGGATCAGATAATCTGGTTCACAGGGTCAAAGCTTTGTGTCTTTTCAACAACAAGTAATATCACACAGACAAGACCTACAGAAGGATGTCACATTTATTTATTCATCGCCAAGGTCTGAAAGAGTCGAGAGGAAGGACTGAAGCAGAGACTGAGGCAGAGACTGAAGCAGAGACTGAAGCAGAGACTGAAGCAGAGACTGAAGCAGAGACTGAAGCGGAGACTGAGGCAGAGACTGAGGCAGAGACTGAAGCAGAGACTGAGGCAGAGACTGAAGCAGAGACTGAAGCAGAGACTGAGGCAGAGACTGAGGCAGAGACTGAAGCAGAGACTGAGGCAGAGACTGAAGCAGAGACTGAAGCAGAGACTGAAGCAGAGACTGAAGCAGAGACTGAGGCAGAGACTGAAGCGGAGACTGAAGCAGAGACTGAGGCAGAGACTGAAGCAGAGACTGAAGCGGAGACTGAAGCAGAGACTGAGGCAGAGACTGAAGCAGAGACTGACATCCCATAATAGTGCTGTTACCTAGGCGACGGACAGCGCAAGTATTTGGACTGCACTTCCTGGATCTCGCGGGCTGCTTCCTCGTCGTCATCTGGGACGGTCTGATCTGGACTCTGATTGGACGAGGCCATGGCGACAGGCTCCTCCTCCACGTCACACCTTTCACACAATAATTGGTCAAACTAGTAATGTCATCATTGTAATGTTTTGCTTTCTACTGAAATGCACGATTAAAAAAAAAAACCTGGATAGTATTTTATTGGTGCAAAGATCTTTTTTTTCATTTTCCCCCGAAATGAAGTAGTGTTTTGTTCGTATACTACTGCGATATCAGCAGGAGAAACACTCTGCTCCAACACGTGTCTTTCCTTTCTAGTAGAAGACGGCTGAGGCTGAAGCAGAAGCAGACACTACCGGGACAATAGCAGATGGACAGACTTCATTCTAACCAGGCTTCTGTCATGGCAGAGCCTGGTTAGTACTGTGATGGGAGACCTCACCAGGTGCCACATGGGGACGGCTGCGGCTGTAAAGGGCCAAACTGTCATTGTGTCCTTAGCCAAAATACTTCACCCACATTAGAAAGAGTCTGGTTGCCTCGCTTCTGTCAGTGTGCCTCAGGGCAGCTGTGGCTACAGTAGCAGTTTATCATCTCTGTTTGAGTGAATGAATAATGATGTGCAGTGTCTTTGATTGTCTTGAAAAGCACTTAATAAAACCAACGCATTATTATTATTATTATTACTATTATTATTATTAATAATTGGTATAATGTTTTACAATTCAGAGACAGTAATAGTGCAGTGAAACACATTACTTTTAAATAACAGTACATGAAATACATTTTGAAGAAACTTGTCCAACACTGGTAATAGCAGTATTAGTAGCAGTAGTACTAGCAGTAGTAGTAGTACTCGTGGTAGTAGCAGCAGTAGCAGTAGTATTTTCTTATGTCTGGGGTCACATTCCTTCTGGACTTGTTGTGTCGTTGAGCAGGACACTCTTTGGTCTCAGATTTAACTCTATTTTTATCCTGAACAGCTGGTGCTTGAGCCACGACCGCGCTCACTACTGCCCCTGGTGTTAAGCACCATGTGACCTGTGACTGCTGGAACCAGAGAGAGCAGAGACTTGTTGATGTTAGCTTAGCATGAAAACAAGGCTAGCATAACATCAGTATAATATGAACTAAATACATCTTGTTTGTCGCAACAAAGAGTTTTGCAAAGGTGACTAGATGCTGTCTACACCCTGTCATTAAGAGAGATCCCTGTGGGTCACTATTTGACTCTTTGGGCTGAGAACTGATTGGCTGAGTGAGGGTGGTCCTCTGTTTGTCTGAAAATAACTTATTAAAAGATGTGACAGAGGCAGAATTAGAGAAAATTAGTGTTGGAAGCCAACTGAAACCAGAGAGAGGTCAGACAGACCAGAGGGAGACCAGAAAGAGACTCGAGAGAGAGAGACCAGAGAGAGACTCCAGAAAGAGACCAGAAAGAGACTCGAGAAAGAGACCAGAGAGAGAGACTTGAAAGAGACCAGAGAGAGACTCCAGAAAGAGACCAGAGAGAGAGACTTGAAAGAGACCAGAGAGAGACTCCAGAAAGAGACCAAAGAGAGAGACCATAGAGAGACTAGAGAGAGAAACCAGAGATGAACTAGAGGGAGACTAGACAGAGAGACAATAGAGAGACCAGAAAGAGACTAGAAAGAGATCACTTAGAGACCAACGAGAGAGACCAGTGAGAGGCCAGAGAGAGAGACCAAAGAGACCAGAGAGATTAGTGAGCGAGAGAGACCAGAGTTAGACTAGAAAGTCCAGAGAGAGAGAGCATTGAGAGAAACCAGAGAGAGACAAGAAAGAGACCATTGAGAGAGCAAAGAGAGAGAGAAACAGATTTCCAAACTGTTCTAGATTGTGTTAGAGGTCTTACCGTCAGAGTGCAGGGCAGTTGTGTCAGGACTAAACTTAGACCAGGACTGATCCAGGACTGAAACCAGACTCCAGGACCTTCACAGCACTGGCCTAACTCTCCACAATAAAAGCATTCACCACTCATGGATTTCACAATAAAATATAGGAGCTGCTCTGTTTTTATCTTCTCCCTCATCTTTTTTGTTTTGTTTTGTTATTGTTTCTAATATTGTATTTAATAATTCTGCCATCATTTATTCTCATTGCCTCCTCATCAACATTGTTCAGGGGTACAGAGGTGTAGTGACAGTAGTAGGTTTGTTTATTCAGTCATACAAATTATTTTTTTGACATAAAAAGGACAAGGTTACAAAAACAATGTCGCTTATGTCAGAAATGTACATGCTTTAACATAGATTTACAAACGCAAATGTGACCGAAGGGATTAGGCTGAAGGGCAACTTATTTTTGCCTAATCCAATTCATTAAGTAAAGTCTCCAAAGTATGAGGCAAAACCCTTTCAAAATAGAAACCAAACTAAATTTCAAGACCAGGAGAAAAAGTAAAGAATAATATTATTTTTAAACGTTTTCAATGTGTAGGAGTTTTTAATTGTGTCGTCTAAGTTGTTCCATAGTCTCACTCTGACTGAGACGCATCTGCTTTTTTTGTTAGTTCTTGCCTTATTTATTTTGAAAATCCCTGTCCCTCTGAGATTGTAACCACAATCTCTATGTTCAAACATATTTTGAATATTAGGTGGACGATGACAATGCTGAGCCCTGTATAGCACAGCCAGTGTTCTCACATCAACAATATCATACATTTTTAAAGTTCTTAACTGGATAAAGAGAGGGTTGGTCGGTGCGTAGTAGTGTGCTTTAAACACAATTCGTACGGCCTTCTTTTGAAGAAGAAAAAATGGTTCAATGTTTGTTCTATAATTGTTTCCCCATATTTCAACACCGTAACTCAAATAGGGAAGAATAAGGGAGTTGTATAACAGGTGGCGTGATTTTTGGTTTAAGTCTGTAAATGTCTCAATTTACCCAAAATTCTAACATTTTTTAACAATTTCAATTTAAGATTATATATTACTGTTTTGCATCAACAGTAATTCCTAGGAATGTATTTGTCCCTACTTGTTCTATTTCTTTGCCATTGATCTCCAGTTTAATTTGAGTATTATTTATTTCATTTCCAAATATTATATATCTTTTTTTTGTCAGGTTCATGGAGAGTTTGTTTCGGTCAAACCATCCTTTTAGGATCACAAGTTTTTGCTGAACTATGTCAGTGATTTCATGCAGATCGTTTCAGTATCAGAGTAATCGAGGCTGGTATCATCAGCCTACAACAAGCATTTACCTTTATCCAAGATCTCACAGACATCATTGATCTACATTATAAATCATTTAGGTCCCAAAATTGAACCTTGTGGAACTCCGTGTGTTATGAACTGTTTATTTGAGTTGACGTTATTTATATGAACGTACTGGTCTCTTTTACTGAGGTAACTTTCCACCCAAACGTGAGCAAATCCCCGGATACCGTATCTATGAAGCTTCTGAAGAAGAAGTGAGTGGTCTATGGTGTCAAAAGCCTTACTTAAGTCAATAAAACACCTACAATATGTTTATTGTACCAGTGGCAATGTCTTCAGCAGGAGCCATGACCGCCATCGTGGCAGATCTGTTTGTACGAAAGCCATGCTGTCATTTAACAAGTGATATTTTTCAATAAAATTCTGTTAAGAAATAGTTTTTCTAAAAATTTTGAAAACTGTGAGAGGAGTGAGATAGGTCTGTAATTTGTGAATAGACGTGTATCACCACTTTTGTGAATGGGAGAGAAGAGAGAGAAGTACAAAATGTCATGAATGAGTAGGGTTTGGAATGAGTGGGTGTATTGTGTGAGGTGTGGCTGGGGGTTCGTCTTGAAGTGAAAAATAGTCCGAATTTAAGTTTTTCCATGTAGAGATGTGTGTGTTAGTTTTGGATTTGTGAACTTGTGACGGCTTTCCAGAATGCTTGGACCGGAGTGCAGTGCCAAAGAGCGTGAATGTAAGTGTCCCTACAACCCTGTGTGCAGTGTGGGCAGGTGTCTGAAGTGGATCCCATTTTTGATCATTTGTACCCGGTGTAGTGGTATCTGAAACATGATCTTGAGTTAGAGTTAGAGACATGTGAGACGATACCATCAGATGTATTTAAAGATGAATTCATGTGATCAATTAAGCAGGAGGACAGAAGTTCCTGATATATGTGGATGTGTTGGACTAAAGCAGGGTTTAAAGTAGGTCTAAACCAGGCAAGGCAAGTTTGTATCGCACAATTCATACACACGGCAACTCAAAGTGCTGCTCAAAATAAGATAGCATTAAAATAAATATAAGTAAGTAAGTAAGTTTTTATTTATATACCGCCTTTTCACTGCAGATCTGAGTCTCAAAGCGGTTTACAATTGTTAATTTTGGGCATTTGTCTCTCACTCCACACAGAGATGGGAGCGGGGTCGCCAGTACAGGAGGCGCATGCTAGAACTATTGGACATATTTTTAGTGGTAGGGGAAACCGGAGTACCCGGAGGAAACCTACGCAGACACGGGGAGAACATGCAAACTCCACTCAGAAAGGCCCTGGTCCGACCGGGATTCGAACCCAGGACCTTCTTGCTGAGAGGCGAGAGTCCACTCAGCCACCGTGCCGTCCGTAACCCAATAACCACAGTACACTAAAGAGGTCTAAACCAGGACTAAACTGGACTAACCAAGTCTGAACCAGAACTAAACCAAGTCTAAAGCAGGACAGATCTCCGCACAGATCTCTCTGGTCTAAAACTTGTGACAAACTGAAAGATGTATAATGTTTGTGAGTGAGAGGAGACAGAGACAGGGCTCTGCATTTGCTCACTATCAGCTGCTATTTATACACAAGACAAGAGCTTCCCAAAGAGTGGTCTGCAATCAGTGGACGGGTCGCCCTTTGGTCAAAAAGGCTGTCATGGTGGGAACAGGAAGAGGCTGGAGCAGGTCATCAGGAAGTCCACAGAGCAGCAGGTGGAGGACAGGAGGCTCCTGGACAAACATCTATGTGGACCACGACTGTCGCCGCCTGCAGGACATCTGTCTGCTCTGGAGAGTAGCTTCAGTGACAGACTGATCCACCCTCACTGTGTCAAGAAAATGAAAGTAATCTGTGCAACGTTATCTCCCCAGGACTAAAGCCTATTACTCGCGTGTTGCTGTGCGTGTGGTGACACTGGTGAGGTCTCCTGATGTCACATGACTATAGCAAGGATCAACGCAAGACCTCTAGGACCCGTTGGACCTCCAAGACCCCTCGCTACGCAGCCGGCACCGCAGAGAAGGTCCACTGTGATTGGCCCGTGTGTGATTACGTGTTGGTTGGAAGCATGGAACGACCGCGGTAGAACATGGACGAGGCACTTCAGAGCACACTGCTTCAAAGGGGACCGAAGGAAAAGCAGTTTGGGCTCATCTCCCAGAGCCTGATGTAAGGAGGCTGTGGATATCGGACATTTCTCTACCGTACAGTGGTTTCCTTTGTACTGTTCCTGTGTCTTTGTTTGAATCTACACTTGTGCATAGTCTCTGCATCTGCACCAGGTTGCATTCATCCTGCACTTGCAATTAATTTTGTCTCAGATATTTATCACAGATTATTTTGCTTATTTGTGCATAAATACAATTTATAACAACCACCAAGAGCAGAGTCTTTATTCACAGCACGGTGGAAATTAGTTATAGTCAGTAATCTTTATTTATATACCGCCTTTTCACTGCAGATCTGAGTCTCAAAGCGGTTTACAATTGTTAATTATGGGCACTTGTCCTCTCACTCCACACAGAGATGGGAGGGGGGTCGCCAGTACAAGAGGCGCATGCCAGAACTATTGGACATATTTATGGTGGTAGGGGAAACCGGAGTACCCAGAGGAAACCTACGCAGACATGGGGAGAACATGCAAACTCCACTCAGAAAGGCCATGGTCCGACCGGGATTCGAACCCCTGACCTTCTTGCTGAGAGGCAAGAGTGCTAGCCACTCAGCCACCGTGCCGCCCATTGTTAGGGGCGGCACAATGTTAACACTCATTGTTATGAAACAATGAGTCTATAAATCTGTCATATAAACTTACGCCTACAAGACACATTCTATGAGATTCGGATCGATCTCATACAGCTTTGTTTGCCTTTGTTCATGTTCTGAAGAGAAAGTAGCCAGCGGCCCAATGGCTGAGGGGATAGCACTCTCGCTTCTCAACAAGAAGGTCCTGGGTTCAAATCCCGGTCGGAACAGGGCCTTTCTGAGTGGAGTTTGCATGTTCTCCCCGTGTCTGAGTAGGTTTCCTCCGGGTGCTCCGGTTTCCCCTACCACTAAAAACATGCACAATAGGTATGAATGTAAATGAGAGAGTGAATGGATGGTGTTGATTGCGTGTTCGGAAACTCGCTTCTGTCATCACCGTGTGTGGAATGATTGGAACAATAACTGAACTCTGAACATTGTAAAGTACTTTGGGTGACCTTGGTTTGTAAAATACACTATATAAATAAACATTACTTACTTACTTATTTTGTAATGGAACCCCTTTGATGTCACCGGCAGAGATCGCCATCATGTGGTTGGTGTGGGAAAACAACAATCTCTTCAAAACTAGGCACAGGGGTACGCTCGAGTCCACAACAACTGTGACGCCCGAGTATACATAGGACTTAAGGCTGGTGGAAACAGGTCTAAAGCAGGACTCTATCGGGACGAAAGTAGGTCTAAAGCAGGTCCAAAGCAGGTCTAAACCAGGACTAAAGCAGTACTAAACAAGGATTAAAGCAGAAATCAAACTTGGGCTGTTTTTTCTTCTTTTATTTGACAAGAATCAGACACAAAGTGCATCAGTTCAACAGAAGGTGAAAAAGGCACAAACGTTATTCTAAGTGGAAATATTAAATATTCATCATCGTCCGTACCTCACAGAAGTCATACAACAATGTTCATATTTATCACCATTTCTAATTTTTTTTAGTTTTTACAGTAGCATCCAGGACCAAATCATTTATACACCTGTTTGAGAAACCAGAGAGAGATCAGGGACACCAAGGACCAAAGAAAGAGACCAGAGAGAGACCAGAGAGACCAAATACCAGAGAGAGACCACAGACCAGCGAGAGACCAGAGACCAGAGAGAGAGACCAAAGCGAGACCAGAAAGAGTTGAGTCTTTTATCTTTTTTCTCGTCTTCCTGTAGATTATCTTGTGTTTCCTCTACACAGTGACACATTCCAGCGAGAAAGATACATCTCCACGGCAACAAGACAGCGTTACATAGAGCAGCTTTACCGACAATTACAAGCGTTTGTTTCACAGTGAAGTTGTTGGATTGAGTCCTGAGCATCGAGACACCAGAAACACATAGATTTGATACTTGAGAGAAATACATTCAGAGACAGCAGCAAGAACTGATTTCAGAATAAAAGTCCACATTCAGAGTTCCTCCAAATGAAAAGTACAAACAAAAGAACTCTCTGGTCTCTGTAATCTACATCAACTTCATATGAAAAATGTTTTTTGGTTCATTTCATATATATATGTGGTCAGAAGGGGCGTGGTTTGAAGCCCCCTCTACTGAGAGACTCTTCATCTTTCTCGTCACTAAACCCATCACCTCCATTTTGAGCATGAGAATGAAACAACGCAACAACAACATAACTCACAATATAAATACCACAAACTACACAACTTGTATAACGTATAAAGTGTGTAGTACTAAAGTTTACAATATTCTTGGTCCAAAAACCATGTCATCAAAGCCACAAAGTGAAACAGAAATGAGACCCCTGTATTAAATATAAACTCTATTTGGCAGAAGAAGAATGAGATAAATACATAATTAAAATATTTATATAAATATGTATCTTTTGTGCAGCACTTTGGAAACGTTGTTTAATAAAACATTCTATACAAATAAAGTGGATATTTAGGCACAGAATTCCAAATACCTACAATTAAATTGTATCGCTGTCACTTTAAGAGAGAGAGACCTGCACCAGTTGGGCGAGCGAGGAGATCTCATATTTTAAGAATTCATTCATATTGATTCTTGGAGACTCCCTAAAAAAGAGAGAAAGACCAGAGAAAAAGGCTAGAGAGACCAGAGTGACAAGAAAAAGACCAGAAAAACCAGATAAGCCAGAGAGAGAGACCAGGGAGACCAGAAAGACTAGATCGACAAGAGAGAGAGACCAGAAAGACCAAACAGAGAGAGGGACCAGAAAGAGAGAGTCCAGGGAGAGGAAAAAAATAAACAGTTCCAAACAACTAAAACTGATTTAAACCACAACCGACACAGGCCTCACTTCCTGCTTCACTTCCTCCTTCACTTCCTGCTTCACTTCCTGCTTCTTCCCCTCTCCTCCATCTTGATTTTTCCTCCCTTCAAACTCTTCCTTCTGCTTCGCCTTCTCGTCCCACGTGGAGAACGCGCTGCAATAAGCCGGAGCCAAACAGGGCACCAGATGCACCTCCCCAGAGTTTTGCAGCATCTGGACGCAGGTGTAGAAGTCCGGGATGGCCTTCATCTGGGAACTCTGCAGCAATTCGGTAACGCCGGTCTGTCCCATCACACTGTACTCTGATCCAGGAACTGGCAAAACCAAATCTGAAGCTGGGGAAGCAAAGGGGCCGCTAACGTATCTCCCGTGATTAGCATTAGCAATAGCATTAGCAACGTTACACGGGATAATCAGAGCCTCTTTCTTGTTAACGTGTGGGTCTGGGTTGTTGCCAGGTTTGGAGGGTTTCTCCGTGATGGTGTGGAGATGTTCTGGTGCCAGAGCGGGAGCAGAGAGCGGGAAGGTTTCGTCCGCGCTCACCTGGTCCCAGACGTCGTCCGTGAAGGTGTAGCTCGGAGGACTGTAGCCGTGGAATGTAGAGAAGTGACGGTTTATCTCCTCCAGGTTTCCCTTCTGGAAAAGAGAGGAACAGGTTAGACAATCGAGAGAGAGTATAGAGAGACTTAAGATGGACCAAAGAGAGACCAGAGGGAGACCAGAGAGAGATCAGAGAGAGACCAGAGGAAGAACAGAGACCAGAGAGCAAAACAAGAGAGGGATCAGAGAGAGAGACCAGAAAGAGACCAGAAAGAGACCAGAAAGAGACCAGAGAGAGACCAGAGAGAGAAACAAGAGAGACCAGAGGGAGAAACAAGAGAGAGACCTGAGAGAGAGAGAGACCAGAGAGAGAAACAAGAGAGAGACCAGAGGCAGAGACCAGAGGGAGAAACAAGAGAGACCAGAGATAGACTAGAGAGAGAGAGACCAGAGACAGAGACCAGAGATAGACTAGAGAGAGAGAGACCAGAGACAGAGACCAGACTAGAGGGAGAAACAAGCGAGAGATCAGAGAGAGACAATGGAGAACCAGCGAGAGAAACCAGAGAGAGACAATATATTGCCTGACCTTGAGAAGAAGAGGATCAATTCCTAAGATCCTGGGTTTGGGAATCGGAGGCAAGAAGTAATTTTTTATTCTGAAAAGGATATAAATAAACATGAGAGAAATGTTGAATAAAGTGAGAGCTCAGCTTTGACACAGACACAGATGAAAGGTTCTGGTTCAGACCTTTTGCTCTGCTGAACCAGACCCAGTGAGAACCCGACCAGGACCACCATACTGACTCCAGTCACCAGCAGCAGCAGCAGCAGTTTCCCTTCAGAGTAAAACAAGTAAAGCTATACAAAAAACCCGCCTTGCCGTTAGCAAGGCAAGTTTTTTGTGGGGGTGTCCTTTGTCAGCCCAGGTTTTTTCCCTAGTTCTTGTTTATTTCTGCTTTAGTCTCTGCTTCAGTCTCTGCTTCAGTCTCTGCTTCAGTCTCAGCTCCAGTCTCTGCTTCAGTCTCTGCTTCAGTCTCTGCTTCAGTCTCAGCTCCAGTCTCTGCTTCAGTCTCTGCTTCAGTCTCTGCTTCAGTCTCTGCTTCAGTCTCTGCTTCAGTCTCTGCTTCAGTCCCTGCTGCAGTTCCCCCTCTCACCAGTAGGCGGCCTGCCTGGGATGCGCATGTACATGGGGAGACTCCACTGGCTCCAGCGTCCGTAGTTATGAGAGCGACATCGAACCTGAACCACAAAGTCCTCCGCAGGAAGACCCAACAATTCCACCTGAGGCTCATACAGAGAGGTTTTCTCCTGCACAAAAGGAGAGAGACCAGAACGAGACCAGAGAGAGAGACCAGAGATAAACCAGACCAGAGAGTAATATCAGAGAAAAAGTGACATGGGTTTTATTATAGTTCTATTGTTGTGGTTCCAAAGTCAGGTCTCTGGCGTTCCTTGTACCTTCCAGTTGTCTTGCTCGTCGGCACGTCGGTAGCGCAGCTCGTAGACCAGAGTGATCCATCCAAACTGCAGGTCTATGGGCTGAGGGTACGTCCAGGAAATCAGGCAGTTGTGGCCGCTCTCATACCCACCAGAGGGGTGCAGCTCATGGGTCAGGTTCACTGGAGCCTCAGTCTCCACTGGAGGAGAGAAGACAGAGATCAGAGAGAGACCAGAGACCAGTGAGAAACCAGAGTCCAGTGAGAAACCAGAGTCCAATGAGAAACCAGAGTCCAATGAGAGACTAGAAACGAGGAGTGGGGAGAGACCACCTGGAGGAGACCAGGTGGAGACCCAGGACTCAGAGGGACTGTGTCTTTGCTCAGACTGCTGCCTCTGTGACCCAGCAAGGGATACACCATAAGAAAATAAACGGATGATTGGGAAAAAAGAGATAAAATATAATATAATCAAATTTAATTCAATTGAAAAATATGAGGATTTTATATTTGGCCAGAAATCATCCAGTTACAAAACAGCAGAATAATGACACTTGTGGCTGAAGTGGTCACACTGAGTCCACTTAGACCTTATGAACACACCATGTGACCCAGGGCTCTGGAGACTGCTGTCAGAGGTCTGAAGTGGACGAGGAGCGATTTTGTGTCAAAAGAATTTTCCCCAAAGAACGAAAAAACACTAGAAAGCACTCAGCCCCAGAGAGCTGTTGTCACAAGTCACTGAGATCTAACGCATGTTAGAGAGAGACCAGAGCGAGACCAGTAAAAGACCAGAGTGAGACCAGAGAGAGATTAGACACTGGTGCAACAAAGCCTCCAACCAAAACCATACATTTATACCTATTGTGCATGTTTTAGTGGCAGGGGAAACCGGAGCCGCCGGAGGAAACCCAGGTGAGAACATGCAAACTCAACAGAAAGGCCTGGAAGTGGAGTCAAACCCACAACCTTCTTGAGACTGTGAAACACAAGCTCTAACTGCTGTGCCACTGTCGCCCAGAGACAAAAGAGAGACCAGAGAGGGACCAGAGAGGGATGAGAGAGACCAGAGAGAGATGAGAGAGACCAGAGAGAGATGAGAGAGACCAGAGAGAGATGAGAGAGACCAGAGAGAGATGAGAGAGACCAGAGAGAGATGAGAAAGAGAGACCAGAGAGAGATGAGAGAGAGAGTGTAGCGTTCCTCGCACTGTGAGCGAGAAGCTGCTGATTCTAACACAGACACATCAAAACGAGAACGAGTCTGAACTCATTATATTCAGTTTTAAATGTCAGGAATAAATTAGGTCTGCTTTTCCCAGAGACTGGACCAGGACTACAGCAGGGACTGAGACAGAAACTGAAACAGAGACTGAAGTGGAGACTGAAGCAGAGATTGAAGCAGAGACTGAAGCAGAGACTGAAGCAGAGACTGAAGCAGAGACTGAAGCAGACACTGAAGCAGAGACTGAAACAGAGACTGAAGCAGAGACTGAAGCAGAGATTGAAGCAGAGACTGAAGCAGAGACTGAAGCAGAGACTGAAGCAGAGACTGAAGCAGAGACTGAAGGAGAGACTGAAGCAGAGACTGAAGCAGAGACTGAAGCAGAGACTGAAGCAGAGACTGAAGGAGAGACTGAAACAGAGACTGAAGCAGAGACTGAAGCAGAGACTGAAGCAGAGACTGAAGCAGAGATTGAAGCAGAGACTGAAGCAGATATTGAAGCAGAGACTGAAGCAGAGATTGAAGGACAGACTGAAACAGAGACTGAAACAGAGACTGAAGCAGACTAAAGGAGTGACAAACACACATGAAAACTTGTGCCAGCGACAAGAGACATTGGTTTAACACAGAGTTCTGTTGTTGTAACGTGAAGGTCCCCCAACTTTAACTCACCGATCTCGGCCACGTCCAAACAGTGCTGAGGGGAGGTGTAGTTGCCGATGGGTGTTACCGCGGTAACGTTCATGCAGTATATCTTCCAGATGTTTGTGTGAGAGCTGTTGAAGTGACAGCTGTGAGGACCAGAACTCACATAGTCTGGACACTCGAGGACTGGACCTTTACTGAGGAGAGACCAGAGAGAGACCAGGGTCAGACCAGGGTTTGTGTGATGTGTTTTGTGTTTTTATATTTTTAATGCATGGATTTTAATCACAGTTCCTTGGACACTTCCCCTAATCACCCGCACCTGTTTTAATCAAGACCTTTTAATTGGGGGCGGGCACTGCAGGACAGGGGAGAAGAACGGGAAGAGAGCAGAGGAGAGCCAGACGAGAGCCAGACGAGAGCCAGGGGAGAGCCAGGGGAGAGGATGAGGACACGGGACCGGGCCAAGGACGAGCACCGCCAGCCAGAGACCACGGGGCACTGAGGCCAGCGGGCAGAGCGGCACCGGTGAGGGGGCGCGCATTGATAGCGCACTGGCGCGTGCGCGCCCGGGCTATGCCCACCGAAGACCGGGATGTGCCGGCTCTTCCCCGCGGGTGCCCGGTGGCGACCCGTGGTCTGCAAGGGGCTGGCGGGACTGCAGCCCGGTCCCGGGACGGAGAAGGGCCTGGAGGGAACCGAGGCCAGGGAGGACACCGGTGCCCAGCGGACTACGGGTTTTATCATGATTTTAATGGACCTTTTGTAAATATTTTATTAAATTTTATCCCCTTTTTATCCTCTTCCTGTTTTATGATCACACCCCCTCAACAGACACTTTTAAACCTGTGACATTTTATGGCTCTTGGAGAGAGAGACCCCGGTGAGACCAGAGAGAGATCAGGGTCAGACCAGAGAGAGACTAGAGAGAGACCAGAGAGAGACCAGAGAGAGATCAGAGAGAGACCAGAGCGAGACCAGGGTAAGACAGGAGAGAGACCAGAGAGAGACCAGGGTTAGTAGTAGCAGCAGTTTTCCTCACTCCTTAGTGTAGCTCAGCACATATCTCACTCCTTCTCTCTCAGTCAGATTCTCGAGCGGATGCCAGTAACAGCTGAAGTCCTCCATATTTCTGGATCTGCAGTAGTAGATCAGAGGCCTCATGGTGTCATCTGTAAACACACAGAGCATTAGAGAGAGACCAGAGAGATAGACCAGAGAGAGAGACCAGAGAGAGACCAGAGAGAGAGACAAGAGAGAGACCAGAGAGAGAGACAGAGAGAGAGACCGGGGATAACAGAAACCTGCTGTAACATAAAGCAGAAATAACACATGATTGTTGGAGTGTGTCTGTGGTCTCCGGGGGACATGTACAGACTGTGTGTTTTTGATATAATCTCTCTCTCCTGCTGTTCCTTTGATTCGAGCTGAAAAAGCCACAGGTCGGCCGCTAATCTCTCACTTCACAGAAAAAGGCTAAATTACACCAAACACAAACCGCTGTTTCCACCGACGAGACCGAAGCGAACAAGTGAGAAGGAAGACTTCACATGGATCTGCTTTAGTCCTGCTTCAGACCAGCTTTAGACCTGCTTTAGACCTGCTTTAGTCCTGCTTTAGACCTGCTTTAGACCTGCTTTAGTCCTGCTTTAGTCCTGCTTTAATCCTGCTTTAGACCTGCTTTAGTCCTGCTTTAGTCCTGCTTTAGTCCTGCTTTAGTCCTGCTTTAGTCCTGCTTTTGTCCTGCTTTAGTCCTGCTTTAGTCATGCTTTAGACCTGCTTTAGACCTGCTTTAGTACTGCTTTAGACCTGCTTTAGACCTGCTTTAGTCCTGCTTTTAGTCCTGCGCTTTAGTCCTGCTTTAGACCTGCTTTAGTCCTGCTTTAGACCTAGACCTGCTTTAGACCTGCTTTAGATCTTCTTGCTTTAGTCCTGCTTTAGACCTGCTTTAGTCCTGCTTTAGACCTGCTTTAGACCTACTTTAGTCCTGCTTTAGACCTGCGTTAGTCCTGCTTTAGACCTGCTTAAGATCTTCTTGCTTTAGTCCTGCCTTAGACCTGCTTTAGTTCTACTTTAGACCTGTTTTAGTCCTGCTTTAGAACTGCTTTAGACCTGCTCTAGTTTCTACTTTCTTTCTTGTATTTCCTGTTGTCTGATCCATAGTTTATGAAACATTCTTCTGTGTCTGGGTATAACCAGAGAAACCCATCAGGTCTCTGAGACTGATCTTATTTGACGAGCACATGTCAGCAGAATGATTGACAGTTGGGAAGACCAATGATCTTGATGATCCACCCAGAAGTAGAAAGTCCTGCTGTATATCTTGGAGCAGAGACTGAACAGAGAATAAAACAGAAATCATAAAAACTCACCAGAGAACAACGCTTGTCTCTTGTCTTCGTCCCACGACACAGAGCCACTGCTGTGGACCGGACCCACCAGGATCAACAGGACCCAGAACCAGTCCATCCTGAGGGGGAGCAGAGGTTAGATCAGACTGGGTCCAGGACCCGGACCAGAGCCACACAGACTGAGACTACAGTCAATCCAAGGTCTGTGGAGGAAAATGACCAAGACCAGGACTGGGGAGGACCAGGACCAGAGCCACACAGACTGGGCGGTCTTTCCTGGGACTGTGTGGATTCTGTTTTGATCCTGTCATGAGACCATCACAAGGGTCTGTTTCATGGAAGTCTTTGTGTGCAATCAGAGCTGCTTCTGTCTGCTCCACAAACAACAATATCAAAGCTCAGGGACATACATTTACTCAGCACACATTATAAATCTTGTTCAACAGAAAGAGTGAAACCTAACCTTCACCTGCTGCCTTTGTCTGATCAGTGAGAGAGCCTTGTGAGTCACTGTTGACCCTTTGGGCTGAGATCTGATTGGAGTGAAACATCTGAGGTACATGAAACTAGTGTCAGAAGCAAACTGAGACCAGAAAGAGTCCAGAGAGAGGTAAGATAAAATAAAAGAGAGAGAGACCAGTGAGACAGAGACTAGAGAGAGAGAGAGAGACCAGGGAGAGAGAGACCAGAGAGAGAGAGACCAGGGAGAGAGAGAGACTAGAGAGAGAGAGACCAGGCAGAAAGGCAAGAGACAAAAAGTGGGAGACGGGAGACCAAAGACCAGAGAGAGACCAGGAGCTAAAGGCATGGATTTTATCACAAATAATGTATAAAAATGTTTTACAAATGTTTTGCAAATTTGGACATAATTTTCATCTTTTTAATTTTGTATTAATTAATTATTTATTTTAAAACACAGAAATCTGTAATGAAAACTCTGTCACAAGTTCCTGCTCCTGGTTCCTGGTCTCTCTTTGGTCTTTGGTCTCTTTCTTGTCCCTGGTCTCTGGTCTCTCTGATCTTTGGCCTCAGTCAGATAGTGACTCTCAGGGATCTTTCTGACACAAACGATACCGTGTATCAGTGACGTGCGGTGAGGTTGGTGATTGGTGAGGCACTGACTTCTTCACCCCACTCAGATGTACATAAATATCACATATTCACAATTTGTTTGGCTACAGCAGAATATGTTTCATGTCTGCATTGTTTGCTCATACAAAATTTAAAAGTTTGAAAAAGCACATTTCAAAGTGTGTTATGGTCCTTATCTCATAAATGAACTGCACCGACCAGTTCAGTTCAGACCAGTTTCATGTTTAAGTCCAGATAATATTTTGAGCGTAGATATGTAATCCCCCTTTTGGAAATAAGTCCAACAAGTTTTAAAAAGTAAAACCAAAGGGTGTCTCCTCCATTGACTTTGTGTTCCGCTGGCTGCAGCCGAATCTCAGGTGCATCCGATTTCTAAAATCAACCTTCTCAACCTTCACCTCTCTTCCTTATCATTCATATCATGATTGGAAACACAACATTACCCTAAGTGCATTTTAAATTATCCTTAAATGTGTTACATGTATGTTAGCCAAACCTGTAGCTGCCCTTAGCAGATGAAAAACAAGAAAGGAGCTTTCTGATGGAATCGGATGCAGCCGAATTCCTGGCCTTACATGCGCCCCCTGAGGCTGGTCTCACTTGGTGACATTACAAGCTGTGGTTGAGCGCGATAAAGACCCACATTTGTTGTCAAAAACACAATTTATGACCCATTCTCTCGACTGTAGACATGTAGATTGTAAAGGAAATATGTTTGAACTTTGTAAAGCGCGATAAACAGAGAAAACAGTTAGATAGCAGCACACGGTGTTGTAGAAAAAAAAAAAAATCTGTTGCCTCACAGCGCTGCTCTGTCAAATATGAGAAGCATATGAATCTGCGATTTCAAGCTAAGAATAAATTAAATAAGGCAAAGTTACATTGAAATAACACAATAGCACAAATCAAGTGACAAAGTATTATTGTTTCCATTTTATTCTTTTTTCTTTCCATGATCTTAGGTGAGGTGGGCCTCACCTGCCTCATCTGACCACACGTCACTGCCGTGTATCTAGCGCTAAAGTTACATACCCGAGCTTTAACCTTGTGAGTCGTAGGAGCTGGCTGCTAAATCCTGCTGTGTTAATCAGATTATAGTGAGTCTGGTGCGCACTGAGCATGTGCAGAAAGACACCAGTGAGAGACCAGAGAGACACCAGTGAGAGACCAGAGAGAGACACCAGTGAGAGACCAGAGAGAGACACCAGTGAGAGACCAGAGAGACACCAGTGAGAGACCAGAGAGAGACACCAGTGAGAGACCAGAGAGACACCAGTGAGAGACCAGAGAGAGACACCAGTGAGAGACCAGAGAGACGCCAGCGAGAGACCAGAGAGACACCAGGGAGAGACCAGACAGAGACACCAGTGAGAGACCAGAGAGACACCAGTGAGACACCAGAGAGAGACACCAGTGAGAGACCAGAGAGACACCAGTGAGAGACCAGAGAGACACCAGTGAGAGACCAGAGAGACGCCAGCGAGAGACCAGACAGAGACACCAGTGAGAGACCAGAGAGACACCAGTGAGACACCAGAGAGACACCAGCGAGAGACCAGAGAGACACCAGGGAGAGACCAGAGAGAGACACCAGTGAGAGACCAGAGAAACACCAGTGAGAGACCAGAGAGACACCAGTGAGAGACCAGAGAGAGACACCAGTGAGAGACCAGAGAGAGACACCAGTGAGAGACCAGAGAGAGACACCAGTGAGAGACCAGAGAGACACCAGTGAGAGACCAGAGAGAGACACCAGTGAGAGACCAGAGAGACACCAGTGAGAGACAAGAGAGACACCAGTGAGACACCAGAGAGACACCAGTGAGAGACCAGAGAGAGACACCAGTGAGAGACCAGAGAGACACCAGTGAGAGACAAGAGAGACACCAGTGAGATACCAGAGAGAGACACCAGTGAGATACCAGAGAGACACCAGTGAGAGAGACCAGAGAGACGCCAGCGAGAGACCAGAGAGACACCAGGGAGAGACCAGACAGAGACACCAGTGAGAGACCAGAGAGACACCAGTGAGACACCAGAGAGACAACAGCGAGAGACCAGAGAGACACCAGGGAGAGACCAGACAGAGACACCAGTGAGAGACCAGAGAGACACCAGTGAGAGACCAGAGAGACACCAGTGAGAGACCAGAGAGACACCAGTGAGAGACCAGAGAGACGCCAGCGAGAGACCAGACAGAGACACCAGTGAGAGACCAGAGAGACACCAGTGAGACACCAGAGAGACACCAGCGAGAGACCAGAGAGACACCAGGGAGAGACCAGAGAGAGACACCAGTGAGAGACCAGAGAAACACCAGTGAGAGACCAGAGAGACACCAGTGAGAGACCAGAGAGAGACACCAGTGAGAGACCAGAGAGAGACACCAGTGAGAGACCAGAGAGAGACACCAGTGAGAGACCAGAGAGACACCAGTGAGAGACCAGAGAGAGACACCAGTGAGAGACCAGAGAGACACCAGTGAGAGACAAGAGAGACACCAGTGAGACACCAGAGAGACACCAGTGAGAGACCAGAGAGAGACACCAGTGAAAGACCAGAGAGACACCAGTGAGAGACAAGAGAGACACCAGTGAGATACCAGAGAGAGACACCAGTGAGATACCAGAGAGACACCAGTGAGAGAGACCAGAGAGACGCCAGCGAGAGACCAGAGAGATACCAGGGAGAGACCAGACAGAGACACCAGTGAGAGACCAGAGAGACACCAGTGAGACACCAGAGAGACACCAGCGAGAGACCAGAGAGACACCAGGGAGAGACCAGACAGAGACACCAGTGAGAGACCAGAGAGACACCAGTGAGAGACCAGAGAGACACCAGTGAGAGACCAGAGAGAGACACCAGTGAGAGACCAGAGAGACACCAGGGAGAGACCAGACAGAGACACCAGTGAGAGACCAGAGAGACACCAGTGAGACACCAGAAAGACACCAGCGAGAGACCAGAGAGACACCAGGGAGAGACCAGACAGAGACACCAGTGAGAGACCAGAGAGACACCAGTGAGAGACCAGAGAGACACCAGGGAGAGACCAGACAGAGACACCAGTGAGAGACCAGAGAGACACCAGTGAGACACCAGCGAGAGACCAGAGAGACACCAGGGAGAGACCAGAGGGAGACACCAGTGAGAGACCAGAGAAACACCAGTGAGAGACCAGAGAGACACCAGTGAGAGACCAGCCAGAGACACCAGTGAGAGACCAGAGAGAGACACCAGTGAGAGACCAGAGAGAGACACCAGTGAGAGACCAGAGAGACACCAGTGAGACACCAGTGAGAGACCAGAGAGAGACACCAGTGAGAGACCAGAGAGACACCAGTGAGAGACAAGAGAGACACCAGTGAGATACCAGAGAGAGACACCAGTGAGATACCAGAGAGACACCAGTGAGAGAGACCAGAGAGACGCCAGCGAGAGACCAGAGAGACACCAGGGAGAGACCAGACAGAGACACCAGTGAGAGACCAGAGAGACACCAGTGAGACACCAGAGAGACACCAGCGAGAGACCAGAGAGACACCAGGGAGAGACCAGACAGAGACACCAGTGAGAGACCAGAGAGACACCAGTGAGAGACCAGAGAGACACCAGTGAGAGACCAGAGAGAGACACCAGTGAGAGACCAGAGAGAGACACCAGTGAGAGACCAGAGAGACACCAGTGAGAGACCAGAGAGAGACACCAGTGAGAGACCAGAGAGACACCAGGAAGAGACCAGACAGAGACACCAGTGAGAGACCAGAGAGACACCAGTGAGACACCAGAAAGACACCAGCGAGAGACCAGAGAGACACCAGGGAGAGACCAGACAGAGACACCAGTGAGAGACCAGAGAGACACCAGTGAGAGACCAGAGAGAGACCCGAGAGAGACCAGAGAGACACCAGTGAGAGACCAGAGAGACACCAGTGAGAGACCAGAGAGAGACCCGAGAGAGACCAGAGAGAGACCCGAGAGAGACCAGAGAGACACCAGTGAGAGACCAGAGAGACACCAGTG